AGAGAGAGAGAGATATAGAGAGTATTAGAGACACACATGCATGCGCGCACACGCACACGCACACGCACACACGCACACACACACATACACACACACAGCTGATGCTTATTTAATTTTGCTGAAAAACGCATGTCTGTATATATCCTCGTGTCATGGCAGTTCGATCACTTACAAAAAATCGCTGAATATTCATATAATCTTTTTTTCAAATGTCTTACCTCTAAGCTTGTTTATTTATGACAAACATTTCTGAAATCCAGGTATTTCCACTGAAATTGACACTCGAGGCATGGCCGCCCTCTCACTGTCAACAGAAGTGACCCAGAAAGCTACGTCACACAAGTTTGATCATTTGAATGCATGGCTTGTTGCATAACCGGGATGACATGTATGGAAGCTCTCTTGTGTCAAAATCCAAATTAGAACAGTCTACAGTCGTTTTATATCTTTGTCCATCAAAAGTCACAAATATCCAGCTTATTTTACAAGGTTGATGCAGGGAGTTATTCTCCAGGCTCATCGTGACAGGGGCACCAAAACTCAGAATATCGATGCACAACACGAACTGGCGTGCAGAAACGTAAATGTGTCCAGTGCTGACTTGTAGGGTGGGTACATTGTGCCCAGGTTGTAATGATCAGTGAGACATTAGCTCGAACCTCATCAGATACAAATTGGTTACATTTGCAGCACAGTTCGTCATCACTTGTCACATCACTATCGTACGAATCAAAACTGTCGTCCTGATGCTCGTTGGTCCGTGAAGTACCAGAAGTACTTACATTCGGTGCAGTGACAGTAGTTGGTTTTTTTTGAAGATTTACTTGGTTTTAGGTGCATGCTTTCTTTTTTTGGGTGCCAACTTCACAGTCTGGTGGGAAATAGTTTTATTCAGAATGACGTCTTTGGTGATGGCCTTGCCCCCGACAGCAGCGCTCTAAATGTTTCTCTTTTTAGTAGGCACAGCTTTCTTGAAAAGTACAGTCGTCTTGTCTTTAAAGAATCCTGCTACATCATGGCCCTCAGTAGGTGAAGTGACATCTTTGTCTCCAACTGGCACACTTGAATCAATAACACCAGTATCAGGATGCAGCAAACGTTCAGTCGACTTAAAAACTGTTGATGGCACAAAGTTGATATTGGCGGTGGCTGACTCCACATTTCCTGAAAGAGGATTGCAAATTTGTTGGTGTCAGCGACAGGTTATAAGCTCTACAGTCAAGTTCACAAACAGAATGTTTATTTACTGAACATATACATGTGACTGAGGTTGTTGGAAATTTTAGCAAAAGCAACCAACATCCATTGGCTGTAAAACATTGGACGTGTGTGCAGGCAGTACAAACAAAATAATTTGATGCTGACGTGCCCATTCGATCAGTGGAAGAGAAATGTGGGATCTATGACCATTGTACACAATAAGAAGTGGACTATCTGCAGACGCGGCGACAGCATGCTTCAGGAGATGATCTGTCAGATACCTTCTGTGTAGAAGGGGGTGCGCATTATACACGCAATAATGAGTTTTGATGTTTTTTCCCAAAACGGAAAGACATTACCGTGAGCGCGTAACACCAGAAATACCATGTCAACAAATCCATACTGAAGTACGCAAATTAATCATGTAATTACACAGTCTAGCTATAAAAAGTGTTCTTTGTATATCTGGACTTATGTTTGTAACTTATTTCATAAATTTTATTCAAAATTCCTTTTAATATTGTTTTAATTAATTTTGGCGAAATCATGTGTGAAGCAATTGGAAGATCGCACAACTCACTGTTATTAACAGCAACCACGGTCAAATTACCACTATTGATGCCTTGAAATGAACTTTAGTTGACAGAGAATGGCTACATATATCATAAATGCCATACTTTGACTCATTAAAAGTCATATTTGTTATAGTTTGACGATTCTATACTCAACAACAAAAGTTCCTGTGACACAAATATTTTAGTGTATTTTTCAAACAAGTAAAGTTTGGTTTTCAATATTGTAGTACATGTATGGAATCAAGTCACAAAAACACAACTGCTACAGAAAAGCATGCATTCCATGCAAAAGATCAAGTATCGGTATAAAAACATGTGTGTTAACGGGATTCCATATGCATTGTTTAGCATCGTGCTGACAACAACCACTCAGAAAAACAATAAAATTACGCAATTATTCAACATTATGAAATGCCACGCCTGTCCGAAAATGAGCGTCTGCGAGCCATTGGTATGCTTGAAGCAGGATCAAGTCAATGTGATGTTGCAAGACAATTTAACATCCACAGAAACACCATTTGGTGTTTATGGCAACGTTGGCACGAGTGCAGTCACAGACCATCCTCGGAGTGGAAGGCCACGCGTAACCAGTCATCGACAAGACAACTGGATTCGAGCAACACACCTACGAAATCGATTCCAGCCAGCAAGAGTGACTGAAAGAAGCATCCCTGGCCTTTGACGAATATCTTCACAAACCGTACGTCGTCGCCTCAGGTGTGCAGGGATTGTCGCCAGAAGACCCGCCAGACGTCCCATTTTGACAGGAAACCACCTTCAAGCACATCTACAGTGGTGCAGACAGTGTCTACGCTGGAAGGCCATGCAGTTGGGACAAGTTCTATTCACTGACGAGCTTCGTTTTCACCTCAGCCACAGCGATGGACGGATTTGAGTGTACCGACGTCGAGGTGAACGTTACATCAATCATTGTGTCATGGAAGAAGATCGTGGCATGGCATTGTTATAGTATGGGGTGGGATTACAGCAAGACAGAGGACCCGTTTGATAGTGGTAGAGGGAAATCTCAATGGACAGCGCTACCGCGACGAGATCATCGGCCCTGTTGTTCTACCGTTTTTGTGTTGTCACGGCCCAGGCATTACGCCTGGCCTCATATTGCTCGACTTGTTCAGGATTCTCTTCAACAAAAAACGTGAATGTCATTCCCTGGCCGGCTCGCTCTCCTGATCTCTCACCAATCGAGCACATGTGGGATGAGATGGATCGGCGCCTTCGACGTCAACCACGTGTTCCACAGACACTCCAGGAACCTCGAAACATGCTCCAGCAGATATGGACAGATATCCCACAGGACTTTGTGCGACGCCTGGTCCATTCCATGAGACAAAGATGTGTTGCTTGCATCGCAACGAGAGGTGGACACACACGCTATTGATTTGTAAATTGACATTTTGGCATTTTCATGTTTGTTATGAAATCACACATTTTCTGAAGTCAGTATCGCAAATCAAAATATTTAAACCATTTGATTGCTCTCTCAATGTGTCTCTTACAGGAGTCTTTTATCTGTTGCAAACCAAAATTGTTTCAGATTTGGTAAAAAACATAACGTTGCATTAAATCTTATTTAATGTCAAGGGAACTTTTGTTGTTCAGTATATGTCAACACGTACTTCTCGCAATCATGTGCGTGGGAGCCTCAACGCTGACTGGTCAAACTGGCTCCACGTGAAAAATATATATAGATACTGCAGAAAATCTTGACATATTATGTCCCTACTTGTCAGAAGACTATAAACCTGAGCAGTCAGGCTCCTGCTGAGAAGGAAATCTCCATGGTCACAGCTGGAATGCTTATCACAGATATAGTCACACATTTCCCATGTGACATCTGCTCCATGACACCCTTTCTGCCTCATTGTACTGGCCCTCACTATAACAACAGACTGCTCTATAACAACATACTGGGCCTGACTATTATAACAGACTGACTCTATATCCCCTGACTAGGACGTCTCTCATAACATCCAACTGACGGGGACATCACTATAACATCCGACTGCCACTCAGCACTGACAGGGGCTTTACTATAACATCTGACTGCCACACATCCGACTGCCACATAGCACAGACGGGGACATCACTTTTACATCCAACTGCCACCCAGCACTGACAGGGGCTTTACTATAACATCTGACTGCCACACATCCCACTGCCACATAGCACAGACGGGGACATCACTATTACATCCAACTGCCACCAAGCACTGACAGGGGCTTTACTATAACATCTGACTGCCACACATTCGACTGCCACATAGCACAGACAGGGACATCACTATAACATTCGACTTCCACACAGCACTGAGGGGGGCTTCACTATAACATCTGACTGCCACACACCACCGACTAGGACATCGATATAACATCCAACTGCCACCCAGCACTGACTGGGACATCACTTTAACATCCGACTGCCACCCAGCACTGACAAGGACATCACTATAACATCCGACTGCCACACATCCGACTGCCACACAGCACTGACAAGGACATCACTATAACATCCGACTGCCACACATCCGACTGCCACTCAGCACTGACTGGGACATCACTATAACATCCAACTGCCACACATCCGACTGCCACTCAGCACTGACTGGGACATCACCATAACATCCGACTGCCACACATCCGACTGCCACTCAGCACTGACTGGGACATCACCATAACATCCGACTGCCACTCAGCACTGACTTGGACATCACTATAACATCCGACTGCCACACATCACTGACAAGGACATCACTATAACATCCGACTGCCACTCAGCACTGACTGGGACATCACCATAACATCCGACTGCCACTCAGCACTGACTGGGACATCACCATAACATCCGACTGCCACTCAGCACTGACTGGGACATCACTATAACATCATATACTTGACACGCTTGAAGCAATGTCATTCAAGGCCATCATAAGAATGTATGGCAGTCTACATTGACATATTCATTGTACACGGAGTATGGCTGTGCTTAGTTAATTCATATTCATATATTTACTTAATAACCAACAAATTTTCCAGCTGTCATGTTCTGAAATATGTCCTAATAATAGAATTGGAATTTAAATTGTGTCCTGATACTTGCAATAACTGAATCAGCAACAAATGATGACTAAAATGTTTAGATAATTCTGTTGCTTAGCAAATACCACTATCATATTAGCTTTTATTCACACCATTATTCATTTTATAGACTCTGGAGACAAATGGTATCACAAGAAGCTAGTACAAGATTGACTTCTAGGGTATGTTTCTGAAGTGTGATCCTTAGGCCGTAACTTGCTCAGTGTCCACTGTGTAGATTATCAGTAGTAATAATTTCACTGCACATGAGTATCAGGGTAGTATCTAGCCTTTGTCTGGATGCACCCTGAGTGCTGGTGATAGTCAACACATTACGTCATCACCACTGTATCAGCCGGATAAAATACTGGATGACAAATGAAATGAGATGATGATAATTGTGATTGCTATAGGCAGTTGTGATAGGGGGGAAATGTTCCTATCACATTAGCATTGCATAATATGTGTGGAGGGATAATTGCTTCACTGCTTGCTGTATTGACTCCTGGTGATCACAGTGGTGAACACGGCCTGCAGCTGTGTTGTTGATGACGACGACCTGTAAGGGACCTTAGTCCTAGCGCACACTGCTGCAGTCACTGAGTCACACAGGGGGAATAGGTATCAGCCAGTCAGTGTCGTTACTTCATTTTCAAGGACTTTCTACCTGGTAAACTATACACTTTGTGGGCTTGTCTTGGTAATATATTTGCAGAATTGTTCTCCAAGAGAATGATGAACTAGGTATTTCACTATGTTTGCTACTGTATTTTACCAGTATTCTTCAGTGTTATTGCAATGCTTGTGTTTTCATGCAGGTTCATATTTGTGCTGTGTAGGCTGCCAGTATTGACACCATGACACACTCAGTGCTATGTCTCCCATTCACAATGTATTATCCTGACTGTTTGTGTTCTAGCTGTGTCCCACACCCTCACCACCATGTCATCACTTCCCTCCATCCGCCCCATCGTCATCAGCGGCCCATCCGGCAGCGGGAAGAGCACGCTGCTGAACATGCTGTTTGAGGAATTCCCCAACAGCTTCGCCTTCAGCGTCTCACGTAAGTCACTCCTCCTTATCCCCCTCATTCTAGCACAGTGATGAGGACAACAACGTCATGTAACATGTTGGAGATGATGCCAATGAGAACTGGCCCGCCCCTGGATGCACCACCCAGAGTGACTGTTCCCTATGTTTGATGTACGGGTACAGTGCACCACCCAGAGTGACTGTTCCCTATGTTTGATGTATGGGTACAGTGCACCACCCAGAGTGACTGTTCCCTATGTTTGATGTATGGGTACAGTGCACCACCCAGAGTGTCTGTTCCCTATGTTTGATGTACGGGTACAGTGCACCACCCAGAGTGACTGTTCCCTATGTTTGATGTACGGGTACAGTGCACCACCCAGAGTGTCTGTTCCCTATGTTTGATGTATGGGTACAGTGCACCACCTAGAGTGACTGTTCTCTATGTTTGATGTATGGGTACAGTGCACCACCCAGAGTGACTGTTCTCTATGTTTGATGAATAGGTACAGTGCACCACCCAGAGTGACTGTTCCCTATGTTTGATGTATGGGTACAGTGCACCACCTAGAGTGTCTGTTCCCTATGTTTGATGTACGGGTACAGTGCACCACCCAGAGTGACTGTTCCCTATGTTTGATGTACGGGTACAGTGCACCACCCAGAGTGTCTGTTCCCTATGTTTGATGTATGGGTACAGTGCACCACCTAGAGTGACTGTTCCCTATGTTTGATGTATGGGTACAGTGCACCACCCAGAGTGACTGTTCCCTATGTTTGATGTACGGGTACAGTGCACCACCCAGAGTGTCTGTTCCCTATGTTTGATGTATGGGTACAGTGCACCACCTAGAGTGACTGTTCCCTATGTTTGATGTATGGGTACAGTGCACCACCCAGAGTGACTGTTCTCTATGTTTGATGAATGGGTACAGTGCACCACCCAGAGTGACTGTTCCCTATGTTTGATGTATGGGTACAGTGCCCCACCCAGAGTGTCTGTTCCCTATGTTTGATGTATGGGTACAGTGCAGCACCTAGAGTGACTGTTCCCTATGTTTGATGTACAGGTACAGTGCACCACCCAGAGTGACTGTTCCCATGTTTGATGTATGGGTACAGTGCACCACCCAGAGTGACTGTTCCCTATGTTTGATGTACGGGTACAGTGCACCACCCAGAGTGACCGTTCCCTATGTTTGATGTATGGGTACAGTGCACCACCCAGAGTGACTGTTCCCTATGTTTGATGTACGGGTACAGTGCACCACCCAGAGTGTCTGTTCCCTATGTTTGATGTATGGGTACAGTGCACCACCTAGAGTGACTGTTCCCTATGTTTGATGTACGGGTACAGTGCACCACCCAGAGTGACTGTTCTCTATGTTTGATGAATGGGTACAGTGCACCACCCAGAGTGACTGTTCTCTATGTTTGATGTATGGGTACAGTGCACCACCCAGAGTGACTGTTCCCTATGTTTGATGTACGGGTACAGTGCACCACCCAGAGTGTCTGTTCCCTATGTTTGATGTATGGGTACAGTGCACCACCCAGAGTGACTGTTCCCTATGTTTGATGTATGGGTACAGTGCACCACCTAGAGTGACTGTTCCCTATGTTTGATGTACAGGTACAGTGCACCACCCAGAGTGACTGTTCTCTATGTTTGATGAATGGGTACAGTGCACCACCCAGAGTGAATGTTCCCTATGTTTGATGTATGGGTACAGTGCACCACCCAGAGTGTCCGTTCCCTATGTTTGATGTATGGGTACAGTGCAGCACCCAGAGTGACTGTTCCCTATGTTTGATGTACGGGTACAGTGCACCACCCAGAGTGTCCGTTCCCTATGTTTGATGTACAGGTACAGTGCACCACCCAGAGTGACCGTTTCCTATGTTTGATGTATGGGTACAGTGCACCACCCAGAGTGACTGTTCCCTATGTTTGATGTACGGGTACAGTGCACCACCCAGAGTGACCGTTCCCTATGTTTGATGTATGGGTACAGTGCACCACCCAGAGTGACTGTTCCCTATGTTTGATGTATGGGTACAGTGCACCACCCAGAGTGACTGTTCCCTATGTTTGATGTACGGGTACAGTGCACCACCCAGAGTGACTGTTCCCTATGTTTGATGTATGGGTACAGTGCACCACCCAGAGTGACTGTTCCCTATGTTTGATGTACGGGTACAGTGCACCACCCAGAGTGACTGTTCCCTATGTTTGATGTATGGGTACAGTGCACCACCCAGAGTGACCGTTCCCTATGTTTGATGTACGGGTACAGTGCACCACCCAGAGTGACCGTTCCCTATGTTTGATGTATGGGTACAGTGCACCACCCAGAGTGACTGTTCCCTATGTTTGATGTATGGGTACAGTGCACCACCCAGAGTGACTGTTCCCTATGTTTGATGTACGGGTACAGTGCACCACCCAGAGTGACTGTTCCCTATGTTTGATGTATGGGTACAGTGCACCACCCAGAGTGACTGTTCCCTATGTTTGATGTACGGGTACAGTGCACCACCCAGAGTGACTGTTCCCTATGTTTGATGTATGGGTACAGTGCAGCACCCAGAGTGACTGTTCCCTATGTTTGATGTACGGGTACAGTGCACCACCCAGAGTTCCCTTAGATATCTGTTTGAGATACATGGAGTTAGCATAGTTAGTTTTCTTACACAAGTTGCAAATACAGATATGGTTAATTATTTGTATTTATTTTATTCCAAGGAATATCTTTGTTTTAGATACCACTCGAAAACCTCGGCCAGGTGAAGTTGAAGGCAAAGGTGAGACTGTTTTTAGAATAGATCTAACATTGTTCATCTTGGTATAACAACATGTCAACTGGTATAGTTATTATACACACTAAAACATTTTCCACTTGTTAATATGATCTTTAAAAAAATGTTTATCAAATAAGAATTTAGCGAACTACAGTAACATATGTTCTCAAGATGATGTTCCTCTTGCAGACTACCATTATGTGATGAGGGAAGAGTTTGACAAGCTGGTGGCTGCCGATGGCTTTCTGGAGTGGGCTCAGTTCTCAGGCAACTGCTATGGGACAAGGTAAGGGAGTACTAGGATAATGTATCAGACTGGGACAAATGTTGTCAATCAAGTGTCAGTGGTGGCTCCTACGTACTGTTTAGTTAAAGGTATATCAAAACACATGTTTACATAAACACGAGATTCTTGTTTGATTATGAATCACAATGCATGGCATTTAGATTGACATAAACATGACATCTGTGTTTACACATGTATCACATTCCATGGTGGTGTCTCAGTTGAAGGAACCCAATATTGTGTTTTTTCAGCAAGAAGTCTGTGGATGACATCAGCAAGTCTGGGAAGATCTGCATTCTAGATGTTGAAATCAATGGTGTTAAGAACATAAAGAAAACTGACCTTGTTGCCAGATACATCTTCATCAAGCCACCCAGTCTGGAAATCCTGGTACGTGGGATGAGTCAGCAGTAGTCAGTGGTCACTGACATCCCGTGGGGATTCCGGGGCAGAATACTCGCATCCCATGCTTGTTGTAAGACTAGGAGCCAAATACTGATGGGAGATGAGATGAAATGGGGGTTAAAGTTGCATTCAAGATCATTGCATATAGCGGCATGCATGTACGTGTGTGGCACTAGTCAAGACTTATCCTGGTTTTATAGTGCTAGCCCACAGAGTTATCCATGCCCAGTTTACAGATACCCCACTCAGACCAATCCTCATTTTATCCCCATAATGCCGAGTGCCAGGCAGGGTAACAACAAGTCTTTTAGTATGACATAGCCAGGGATTACACTACCAAATTGATGCTCTCCGGGCAGATGCTCTGTCTACTAGCACATGGAGGCGGTCCCCTATACTGGGGATGGGAGCTGTAGGGTTGTATCACTGCACCACTATGCATGCATTTAACAAGTTGCCCTGACTGTGTTATGGGCAGCTTGATCCTAGGGGCATTCCAAGTTAGAACCAGCAGTGAGGTGTACGGGAGTCGGGACAGTGAGGTGTACAGGAGTCGGGACAGTCAGGTGTACGAGAGTCGGGACAGTCAGGTGTACGAGAGTCGGGACAGCGAGGTGTACAAGAGTCGGGGCAGTGAGGTGTACGAGAGTAGGGACAGTGAGGTGTACAAGAGTCGGGACAGTGAGGTGTACAAGAGTCGGGACAGTGAGGTGTACAAGACTCGGGACAGTGAGGTGTACGGGAGTCGGGACAGTGAGGTGTACGAGAGTCGGGACAGTGAGGTGTACGAGAGTCGGGACAGTCAGGTGGACGAGAGTTGGGACGGTCAGAGTTGGGACAGTCAGGTGTACGAGTCAGGTGGACGAGAGTTGGGACGGTCAGAGTTGGGACAGTCAGGTGGACGAGAGTTGGGACAGTCAGGTGTACAAGAGTCGGGACAGTGAGGTGTACAAGAGTCAGGACAGTGAGGTGTACGAGAGTCGGGACAGTGAGGTGTACGAGAGTTGGGACAGTCAGGTGGACGAGAGTTGGGACGGTCAGGTGGACGAGAGTCGGGACAGTCAGGTGTACGAGAGTCAGGACAGTCAGGTGTATGAGAGTCGGGACAGTCAGGTGGACGAGTCAGGTGGACGAGAGTTGGGACGGTCAGAGTTGGGACAGTCAGGTGGACGAGAGTCAGGACAGTCAGGTGTACGAGAGTCGGGACAGTCAGGTGGACGATAGTTGGGACGGTCAGGTGGACGAGAGTTGGGACAGTCAGGTGAACAAGAGTCGGGACAGTGAGGTGTATAAGAGTCAGGACAGTGAGGTGTACGAGAGTCGGGACAGTGAGGTGTACGAGAGTTGGGACAGTCAGGTGGACGAGAGTTGGGACGGTCAGGTGGACGAGAGTCAGGACAGTGAGGTGTATGAGAGTCAGGACAGTGAGGTGTATGAGAGTCGGGACAGTCAGGTGTACGAGAGTCGGGAAAGTGAGGTGTACGAGAGTGGGTACAGCTACTCATTACAGAGGGTGCTGTTCACAGATCATAAGTATTGACAGTGAGGTGTATGAGAGTCAGGACAGTCAGGTGTACGAGAGTCAGGACAGTCAGGTGTATGAGAGTCGGGACAGTCAGGTGTACGAGAGTCGGGACAGTGAGGTGTACGAGAGTCGGGACAGTCAGGTGGACGAGAGTTGGGACGGTCAGAGTTGGGACAGTCAGGTGTACGAGTCAGGTGGACGAGAGTTGGGACGGTCAGAGTTGGGACAGTCAGGTGGACGAGAGTTGGGACAGTCAGGTGTACAAGAGTCGGGACAGTGAGGTGTACAAGAGTCAGGACAGTGAGGTGTACGAGAGTCGGGACAGTCAGGTGGACGAGAGTTGGGACAGTCAGGTGGACGAGAGTTGGGACAGTCAGGTGTACAAGAGTTGGGACAGTCAGGTGTACAAGAGTCAGGACAGTGAGGTGTACGAGAGTCGGGACAGTCAGGTGGACGAGAGTTGGGACAGTCAGGTGGACGAGAGTTGGGACGGTCAGGTGGACGAGAGTCGGGACAGTCAGGTGTACGAGAGTCAGGACAGTCAGGTGTACGAGAGTCAGGACAGTCAGGTGGACGAGTCAGGAGGACGAGAGTTGGGACGGTCAGAGTTGGGACAGTCAGGTGTACGAGTCAGGTGGACGAGAGTCAGGACAGTCAGGTGGACGAGAGTCGGGACAGTCAGGTGGACGAGAGTTGGGACGGTCAGGTGGACGAGAGATGGGACAGTCAGGTGTACAAGAGTCGGGACAGTGAGGTGTATAAGAGTCAGGACAGTGAGGTGTACGAGAGTCGGGACAGTGAGGTGTACGAGAGTTGGGACAGTCAGGTGGACGAGAGTTGGGACAGTCAGGTGTACAAGAGTCAGGACAGTGAGGTGTACGAGAGTCGGGACAGTCAGGTGGACGAGAGTTGGGACAGTCAGGTGGACGAGAGTTGGGACGGTCAGGTGGACGAGAGTCGGGACAGTCAGGTGTACGAGAGTCAGGACAGTCAGGTGTACGAGAGTCAGGACAGTCAGGTGGACGAGTCAGGAGGACGAGAGTTGGGACGGTCAGAGTTGGGACAGTCAGGTGGACGAGTCAGGTGGACGAGAGTCAGGACAGTCAGGTGGACGAGAGTCGGGACAGTCAGGTGGACGAGAGTTGGGACGGTCAGGTGGACGAGAGATGGGACAGTCAGGTGTACAAGAGTCGGGACAGTGAGGTGTATAAGAGTCAGGACAGTGAGGTGTACGAGAGTCGGGACAGTGAGGTGTACGAGAGTTGGGACAGTCAGGTGGACGAGAGTTGGGACGGTCAGGTGGACGAGAGTCAGGACAGTGAGGTGTATGAGAGTCAGGACAGTGAGGTGTATGAGAGTCGGGACAGTCAGGTGTACGAGAGTCGGGACAGTGAGGTGTACGAGAGTGGTTACAGCTACTCATTACAGAGGGTGCTGTTCACAGATCATAAGTATTGACAGTGAGGTGTATGAGAGTCAGGACAGTCAGGTGTACGAGAGTCAGGACAGTCAGGTGTATGAGAGTCGGACAGTCAGGTGCACGAGAGTCGGGACAGTCAGGTGTACGAGAGTGGGTACAGCTACTCATTACAGAGGGTGCTGTTCACAGATCATAAGTATTGACAGTGAGGTGTATGAGAGTCAGGACAGTGACGAGTACGAGAGTCGGTTGCTCCAGTAATGAAAAACATGGTGTGTACCGGTAATCTTCCTCTCTCTATGTGTCTCTAATTGATCCAACATGGACAAAACTTAACAGTGCCCAATGTTCACAGGAACGAAGACTACAGGAGCGAGGGACAGAGACTCACGAGAGCCTCAAGAAGCGGATGGACACTGTGAAGGAAGCTTTAGATTATGGTAATTGACCCCTTACAAATAAAAACTGTTTCCAAACGATGCAAGTTGCTTAACGAGGACCATGCTCCCCAAAATGGTGTCCAATTCCAGTCCACAAAACATGAATAAACGAACACAAATAAGTGAAAAAATATTAAGTTGTCTTGATCAAACATCCTTGCTCCAATCTTAACAAAAATACACTGGTTAATCCCTTTGCTTCCTGGATATTTTATCAAAATATTGTTGAAGAAACATACAATAATGTCGGTTGATTTTATTCCTTTTCTCTGTGAAGTGGATGTTTCTCCATTTCAGCTGATGGCAACAATTATGATTCTGTGATTGTCAATGACGTTAAAGAGGAGGCATACTCCCAGTTGAGGGAAACTTTGATAGAGGTGAGCAGTAACACCTTCACTTTTTACGAATGTGTGTTTTCCTGTTTTAAAATGCAGAACAAAATCTGGAGTTATGAATCTTTTCATCTTATACCCTGCCCATATACGTTAGGGGCAATAATATTGAAACAGGCTCTGCCCCTTTGTCATGTTGTGTTCCTGGAGCATAACTCATAAGCTCCTCTACACTTTTGTGTAGACCTTTGTTTACACATCTTGCATGACTGGCACCTTGTTTGCTATTCAGGATGTTTTAAATATTTATTTATTTTTAAGGAAACATGTGGGACTTGTGGGTAGGCAAGGTTTCCAGAGCATAACTCATAAACCATTCATTCTTCTTCATGAAACTTTGTATATACATCAATTGAGTGCTGAACTGGTGCTTTTGGCCATTTGGGTGTTTGACAAAGATTTACTTTTTTTTGTTAATTTCGAAGGATACAGGTAAAACTTCCGTTCATTGAAACTTTGTATTCACATCAGACATAATACAACCATGTGGAGACTCCCAGTACCTATGGTTGTTGTAAGAGGTGACTGGATGGATTTGGTGGTCAGGCTCTGTGACTTGGTTGATTGTGTGACCCCATACTTTCACAGTGTAGGACTGATGCTCATAAAGTCACTGGAATTTCATGTCACGACTTGACAAGTTTCAGCCTGCTGTGATATAGCCACCTTATTGCTTAGTGCAGTGTTAATTAACAAACTTTTAAAGGGTGGGGGTTATGGATGACTTTGTCTTCTTGTCATATATAACTGTGTTTGTATAACAAGTGATTTTCTTTTTCAGGACATCAAAAGCCTCAAACCCAGCAACTAGTTAATCTCAGTCACACTCCGTGCATGTATTGCTCAGTCTATCCAGAGGACCATGACAATATACAGGTTGTTTAGAGGTCATTATCAACTGTCAGGTATTTTTATTACGATATTTTAGTACTAGTTTATACAGATCTGTCATGCAAACACATGGATTATTTTCCATTGTTTGTGAATGCAATGTATTTGTTACATTGAACTAAAAAGGTTGGGTCTCAGGCAATAGCTTATGAGAACTTGTGTGTGTTAGGTGACTACATTACTACTAAGCCTTGGCTATATTTCTGAAGAAAAAGTGTTGAAATATTTTGATTGTTATTTTTATTACAAAATAATTAGTTTTATGACAATTAGGGGTGTATCACATGTTAATGCATTGCACTGCTTGTCAGTGGTCCTGTTTGAAATGTAATGGGGTTTTTTCACAAAAACATGTTTCTCTTACACTCAGATTAGCAATATTAGCTATGCAAGCCCAACAATTTAGTCATGTAGAAATGTACTTAATAGGTTAAGGAGTTACTAGATAAATATATTTCATAAACTATGTGTATATTTTGTCAGCACTTTAGTGTAGATTTCACTGCCAGTACTTAACTTGAACACCATGATCACTATGCAGTTTCTAGGTGGTATGTTTTCTGATATCCTCGTATTATGGATTTTCGGACGCTCAAGAAACATTAATTGTTTTTTCGCTAATCACATGAACAACTGTAAAACATCTCACTCACTTATAGAAGACAACTTGATCTTAAAAACTAGCCATCATCCGAGTATGCAGCGGGAGTAGTCATGATAAACATGGCCGCCCAGAAAATATATCATTCCGACAATACTATGAATTAAGTACATTTGTTTTGCAGCATGTGGAACATACTGTCTATATCCTGTTTACATACTTTAACTGAAGGAGTTCTCCCAGTGAGCCATGTGTGGAAGCTGCTGTAGATTGCTCTTTGTGCTGTTCCTGAAATGGTTCCTGAACTGTGGTCTGCTTTATGAAGTGGCCATCAGTTGAACTGACATTGCAAAATCTTACTGATACAATATGTTGACCAGGCCACAATGAATTAATTGTTCAACTTTCATCCAAGTTTGTTTTAAAATGTTTTATTTTTTTCATGTCTTATTTGTTTGAAAAGCTGTTGAAGGCATCAGAAATATGGTTCACATGAAGCATGAATGGTTGGTAGATGTATGTATGTATGTATGTATGTTGTGGAGTGCATCAAGTAAATAAGGATGGAAACTCACACAGGGCATTGTCAGTACTTTGGGATAATAAAATGATGAGATGTGTTTGGTAATGAGCGGGCAAGGATGAAAATCTAGTAATTAGTTTATTATGGCCTAAAGTGAAGCGTTTTAGAAGCGCTCCAAGAGCCCTTTATCAATTAGCATCAAATAATGTTAAATATCTATACAAACAGGAAGAGTCATGTCAGTTCAATGGTCATTTGTGGATGCAGATGTCTTTTCATTATCCATCTGAATGTCAGTGTTCAAGTGGATAGAAGCAGATCTACAGAGACATCACTCAGAAGTTGGCACCAAGTCATCCATCAGGCCATCTGCACAGGATTAGCTCCGGATGTTCTCTGAAGGCACATCCATACGAGTGCTTACTGATCTGCATTTTCGCAAATCATACAGTTAGTTCCTTGGGGCACAGACTGAAATGTCTTATGTACGTAAAACATGTCCTCAGGTGCGGTTGTTTTCTGACTAAGACAAACCGGTCTAGCACTTTATTTTTAAAGTTGCTATTTACAATTGTTCATGACACTGTTTACAGGGTTTATGTGGGAATTAGCAATATCATTGTTGATTAGGCTAAAAAACATAATAGTCTTGGTTCTCAGGCACTGCCTGCATCATCGTAAAGTCTGCTGCTGTTTCGTTTTTATTTCCATTTAATTTTTTTTTAAGAAATCCTGATACTTAATAACAATGCAAGCCAGTTAGCATGCAGTTACTTCCCTTTACATGCACACTGTTTTACTGCACATCTTGTGTTATGGTCATGGCAGCAATAGGAGTTTGTGTGCTTGTTTATGTAGGGAGGCCCTGTCCCAGGTTTATGGTACACAACTTTTTTGGGGGGGTTACATACTAGTTTGAACAAGCCCCCAAAAAGAAAACCACCACCCACCTGCGCTATATTTTCGAAAGTAATTGCCTGAGAACCAAATATTTTATTTTTTTAAGCCTTATGTATGCATAGTCTTGAATCTGACATTGATTTGTACATAGTAACTTGTTGTAGATACTTTTTAACTAATTGAATGTCATGGTATGTTTGTGGATAGGTGTCATTCGTCAAGAAATGAGGTACTTGCAGATGAATGTGGACCTGCATCAACATGTCTGTGAAATACAATAAACACGGATGAGAATGGGGTTGGTTTTTTTAAAAACACTGAAAGTTAGTCAGGGGTCTGGGAGACTAAATGATTATACGTACATTGTAATGGCATGAATAACAAAAGTGACCCTCGACATAACGAGGTCCATGGTAAATTCTCATCCCTGAGTACATCCACAGAGGTTTCAGATGAACTAGTGCTAATGTAATAAAATCTTTGCATCTTCATTTCCACATTTGAGATATCTTTATTGAAACTATTAGACCAATGTATAAGAACTTTGCATGATGACCCCTCAATATTGTATCTTCAAGTGTGCCAAAATCATTGAAACAAATCTATGAAACGGCTTGAACCATCTTCCCGAGGCAAGGGCATTAACTGACCATAAAAGTTCAGTTTCCACCCTTGCCGAACTAGGATGGAATTTCTAGGCTCGATTGTAGCGCCACCAGCTATTTCAAGTCATGTCCCTCCTATTGAACAATAAGGTTCCATCTTGCATATCACTTGCATTTGTATAAAATGGCGACACCTTTTCAAGACAATCTGATCGATAATAAATCTCTATTTTGTATTAAAATGAGTCTTACCCTGCGAAGTGCATCAAATCACTTGAGCACCTTGATTAAAAACATGAAAAGATTTGCAAATATCTGTTGATGCCAGGTTGGCGGTACACTTGCTTTGCAAATCCTGCAGTCGTCTGAAATCTGCATGAAGAAATCCATGTTGTTTACAAACCGGTTGTCTAGTTCGTTTCACAATTTTTTGTCTCATTAGTCCAGCCAAAGTGTAACTCACGAAACTAGACTTGTTCGGCAACGCCCTTTCCTCGGGAAGATGGGTTTGAACGTAATGACATTTTTGGCTTAACTGTTTGCAAACATGTAACCAAATCTGTCAATATCATGCAATGGATTCCCCGAGTTCACCAGAGTTCTAGCATTGGTGAAAGTTGATGGCTATCTTTAGTGGAGCACACACAAAAGGATGTCTGTCAGGGCTTTGCATACACATTTTCTATTGTAACAGTTTCAGTAAAAGAATTTAATATTGTGTTTAAATGGAAATTTGTACACAACAGTGAACTTAATAGCTGGACTTTGTGACATTCAAATTGATTATTTCCATCACAGCTATTTCGGACCTCATCTTTTCTCAGGACTTCTGTGACTTTCATCAGCCTATCAGTGACTTCTTCTCACAATAGCTCTGACAGAAACTGTTGAGTAATGGTACACGCTAACCTTGTTGCTTTTGCAGAAACATACAGTATGCATGAACAGTCAAGCATGAATACTCTTTCCATGAAAAAATACTGAATTATTTTTAAAGGCAAGCAGGTGTCAGTTTTAGTTTTGTTACATTATATTTTATTGTTGTTTGTGAGGGAACTGAAATGTTACTGGTAAGTCACATCGGCACTATTTTAGCCATACTGTGATGTTGTTTGTGTATGTATTGTGGGTTACATGTATTATTTTATTTGTGTCTTGTCTGTGGCTTTAATTAAAGTCGAGTCTGACAGTAAAACCCTTGTGTTGCTTAATATGGTTTATGTTATGAAAGATGAGTAAACCTGACCCATATGGAGTGTAATGCAGAAAAGGCCCCCTCTTGTCCAGAATCATGAAATGTATGAGCGGCCATTCGGTCAAAAAATACAAAGTTGAAAAAAGGACAAAAGTACGCAATTAAGGTCAAATATTACGAATAAAGAACTAAATGTTACTACTAAATTTCTTTATTGAAAACGTCCTTTCGTGCACACTGACGTTCTTTTGTACACATTGTTCTTTCTTTTCTTATGACGTCTTTTCGTAACATTTGACTATTAATATTGCATACTTTTGACATTTATTTCAACTTTGTATGTTTAACCCTCGTCTGTTTGTTTTGTATTTTGACCTTTAGTAGTAACATTTAGTTCTTTATTCATAATATTTGACCTTAATTGCGTACTTTTGTTCTTTTTCAACTTGTATTTTTTGACCGAATGGCCGCCCCTAGAAATGGCATGAGGCTGTTCTTGTCCTAGGAGCCTACTGTTGGGGATGAGCAATGTGTGACCTGTCAAGGTGGTCGTTGCCCCTGTCATTAAACACTGGCTTGCCAGGACCAGATCTTATCAGATTTACCGGCTGCTGATTGTGCTGAAAAACAACACTGACTCACTCCATCTACTATCAGGCTCTCCGCCTGTGAATCTCGATCGGGGTAAGAATTGGTCTTCAGCAACCCATGGGATGGGTGGTCAGACTCGCTGACTTGGTTGATGCATGTCATCGTATCCCATTTGCATTGATCAATGCTCATGTCATTCACTGGATTATTTATAGACTGCGGTAATATAACTGGACTGTTGCCGAGTGAGGCGTCAAACAAACAGCTGTCATGCTCTAGCAGTCGATGACCTAAGTTAGAGGAGTGAGTGAATTTGATTTGACACTAGTATTCCAGTTATAAAACCTTGAAGGAAAAGGATGCATCCTCTTTGTGGTTAAATGAACTTGACATCTAACGGTGCACTTGCCATTCTGCAACTGATATGAGGTCACAATATTTCCATCATATATAGTCAAAAACTGAACTAAGCTCACTTAACTAAAGCTTATCTGTTTATTGGTAAACAGAATGTACTATGATTAATGTAATCAATGATCTCTTATGATCAATGTAATCGGCGAACTCATTTCACTGTGCAGAATGTGCGTTGTGGAAACAAGTTATCCACATGTCGTTTAGACAATCCCTTGTAACAACAACTACATCCTCAAATCTCACTCTGGCAAGAAGACACTGCTTTAATGATTTTAGTTATTCAAATTTTCAAGGACTGTCAATAGGCCCTAGCCTAGCTCCCCTTCAACTAAGACGTGGTCACCAGGGTTCCTGCATGGTTTCCATCTTCTCTGAGACACAGCCGGAATCAAATACCAGCAGGGAAAAAACACCATCACTGACCATCATGGGAAATAATAAACATACGCAAACAAAGAACAGGTTTGCAACAGAACAATATTTTGATGTCCATAAAACATGAATTCATCATTTACAGTGTCAACACATGTCCTCCGTAAACATCATCTCAGGCTGAAAGTGGTGTGGGGGTCAATATTCGGTATTTGTCAACAGCACCTCACTGACAACACAAGGTGGTTGAGGTAGGCTTATGGATGTCTTCCATATCTGTCGCAGCTGGACATCACCTGTTGGTTTGGAATTCAGCGTAAACAACTTTTCCTTTCATCCCACACATGTTCAGTTGGCGACAGATCTGGCGAAACATCAGGCCAAGGGAGTGATGGGATGTCCTATTGTCCAGTGAAGTATGTGACCACACATGCCAGGTGAGGGCGTGCATTGTTCTGCTGTAAAGTGATGTAATATCCATGGGTCGGTGTAATGTTCCATCCGACGTCAATAAACACAACCATCACTGTTGTCAAGATGAAGCCTGACTCATCTCTGAAGAGGATTATCCTCAGTTCTGTTACCTGAGCCTCACATTCTCTTGATCATTCCAGGCATAGAGTTCAATGACGTGGCAGCAAAATTGGCATACAGCTCGATTGGGCGGTCAGATGTTATGGCTCTTGTAATCGATTGCCAGAGTCTGCACTAATCGGACAGGAGCTGAGGATGCTGCGGGCTGTCAAAGTTGCAGTTTGATACTGACGTCGCAGGTGAACCAGACGGATGTGATTATCTTGCCGACATGAAGTTACTAATGGGCATCCAGAAGGTGGTTGGTCCCTGTATGGCTTTAGATGAACATTGTATGCAATTCCGGTTTCAAGCATTCCAACTGCACACAACAGCTCATTTTCAGAAAGATGTGGCATAAACATTTACAATGTGTGGTCGACAAAGTTGCTTTTCATGGTTAAAACACTTCAACTATTTACTCTGTGTTTGGCTTGAATGATAACACAGTGTTTGTACATGTGATTATCCCGCATGACTCTGAAAAATCCATGGCAACCTTACTTTCATGTTATTTTCTTTGGTGAACTGGAATTTTTTTTCCAAAAGTATATAAACCCTCATATCTTCACAGGTTTCAGTGGAAGTGTAGAAAATGCCCAATCACCTGATTCTCGAGATATGTAAACATTACAGATTTTAGTATGGCAAAAAATAAAAAGATATGGAGCTGCATAACAACTTACTGCCTATCAGCATTAATGGTGCAAGTATCGTTTAATTGAAAAATTATCGAAAATATTGTCACATTGTCATCAAAAGAGTTAACAATATCAATACCAATTCCAAGTATGGTATACATTTGGTCATACAATCTACAAAATCTGATTACAGTCTCAGCACACACTGGACATTCAACACATTACAACAGTACTACTGTGCAGTGATTATGTACACTGAATATGACTACAATCCCATCTTCAGCTGGTGTCTTCTCCCAAGTCCTCACCACACTCAAACCTCACAAACTCCTTCACAGCTAAATGATTCTTCTTTAACATGTCCTTCACAGACAAGCTTGGGTTCATCAAGAACTCCTGGAAGATCAGTTTGTCTTCCTCATCTTTGCTCTTGCTGGGTTCATCCTCTTCCTTGCCGATGTGTCTGGGGTTCATGCCCACCACATGCTGGCCCAGCTGCCGACATGCCTCCTCACGGGTCAGGGGAGCCTCTTCCTCCTCACTTGAGGAGTCAGAGTCAGAGTCAGAGTCAGAAGAACTTGAAGAGTCTCGAGTGTCCTCTGACTCTACTGGCAGGTCTTGCAGCTCCAACAAGCTTCCAAACTTGCCCAACTTACATTCACTGTTTGTGTTGATATCTGGGCCTACAAGGACAACATGGATTTGTAAAAAATAGTGGGAGTGAATAATATTAAACTTTTATTTTCACAAGTCCGTAAAATCTATCTTTAGACTAGTTGATTCATGTTAATTTCGGACTTTGACTTCTTGGCAACAGATAGCTTTACCATTCATCTCGCCTAGATGAAAACCATTTTAAAACTAGAATTATTTTGTTCTGAGGTTTATCAAAAATATCATTTTCCAAGAAAAAGTCTAAATCTTGAGATGTCATCTTGATCTTAGATAAGATAGTATTCACACAGACTTTTCTCTGATCTGTTGCTACCTGGCATATATTTAAGATATAAAATATGTCTAGGCATCATCCCATTATCTTAGTGTAACAATTCGGGGCCTTACCATGATCAACAGTGGGTGCCGAGACATATTTAATTTCTATTATTGCCTGTATTGTCTTATTAGACTTAATGTTATGAGTGGGTGAGTGAGTTGGGTTTTAACGCTGCTTTTTAATAGTATTCCAGTTATGTCATCAATGTGGGAGGAAAGTCCAAAGTGATGCAGGCCCACTTGCACAAAAAATCTTACATACAATTGATCTCAGGCGCCTGGAATCAACTTAACAATCACCATACAATTGTCTTATTCCACTTGCACAAACCGATCTTAGCACGATTGTAAGACGGCTTGGACTTAAGATCGCGATCTTAGCTACGATTGAAATCTTCAACGGTGGAGGTACAATTATCGTAAAATCGACTCCTGTCTACAGTTTTCGGCAAACGCGCATAGCTTGCTGCGCATACAGTAAGTGGAACTGGTACCGACACACAACACGTATCTCCCTCCATAGCACAGTTTTAAGAAAAGTCCCAATTATTTTAAGCAAACGATTACTAGAATGATGGCACATATTTTTGTCGGCATTAATACTGTCGTGATTTTAGGAATTGTTTTGCATTGCAACTAGAAAAATACCTACTCATGTTTTATTAAAAATATTGAAATATGAATACATTATTTAGAGACATAATTATTATGAAAAATAAGATAAATAATAATATGTCCTAACATACCACGTAAATGTATGATCTTCATCTATTTGGGGGAGCTTTTCGTAAAATCCTAAATATATCCTTCATGTTTTCATTTCATTGCTTATAACAAAGGATGTTGTGACTACCTTTAAAAAACAGAAAGACGGAGAATTTCAAGAATGCATGGACGGGAAGTAAGAATACTGAATAATGTTTTGAGAAAGCAGTTTAATATATAGTCACTAGGTATTAATTATATTGATAATTATTTTTAAAAAATTTCAAATGTCTCATCATGTGTATTTGCTTGTTTGATGAATGCTTGTATTTTTTTTCTTTTAAATTCAGATATTAATACCACTCGTCCCCGTCCAACTCGATTTTAGATTTAAACGTGTATGATTTTGCTCTTCAACTTCTAGTTATTTGTAGATTAATTTAAAGATAAACAAAAGACAAAATAACTGACACTAATGTGACCCAAAAGAAATATACGTGAGCTCAGCGATTCTACAACATTAATACACTGGGTATGGTAGATTGTACTCTACGGGCTTATACAAAGGGAAACCACTCCCATCTAGAGTATAAACTAAGATTGGCTGCCGTTGATTTATCCAAAAGGTCGCAGACGTTACAAATCGCTTGCTGACTACTTAGGTTTTTATCCTTCCCTTGATTAGCAAAAAGGTATGTTGTTTCACTCTTCTTTCAGCATTGAGTCAGGTTGGAATAGTACAATCAGCTATCGACTCGATAGTAATTTGGTTAACTATCGCAATTAACGATATTTCTGGTGTTTTCTTCATGTTGTTGAAGTGTCGATTCAAATCATAAAGTTTAACAAAATAAAGAGGCAACATTTGAACATAAAGCAGATAATTTGTGTGAAACAAACCAAGTCTTGCATGCCATTTTGTCAAGTTTATTCAGGGACTACAACGATCTTAGCTACTTAAGATTGGTCCGGACCAATTGTAAGTTTCGATTGTAGCTTGCAATGATCTTAGCCTACAATCACTTTGTGCAAGAGGATGGCGAATAAGCCAAAGCCTAAGATCGTGATCTTAGGGATTTACAATAATTGTAATGCAAAGATCGCTTTGTACAAGTGGACCCAGGTCTTAGACCTTTACCATTTTGGTGAAACCCACAGGTAGTACCTGTGAGTGCTTGTGAGAGATATCCTCGCTCACAAATGACATTATTGACATGAAAGTTCATGTAACTCCCAGAAATAGTAGCATTATGTAGCACCTCACTCACGGTTGGCCCGGATACAGTGACTTGTGTACCGTTGAGATAACTCTGTTACAGGGGGGGCACAGGACAACATATGGCACAGTCTGTTGTCTATAAGATCTCGGATCCAACCATGATAGCATACCGAATATGGAGACATTGTCACCATGGCCCCTACACACCTGACACATGGTTTGTTTGTTGTTTAACGCTGCACTCAGCAATATTCCAGCTATATGACGGAGGTCTGTAAATAATCAAATCTAAACCAGACAATTCAGTGATTGACATCATGAGCATCACTCTACGTAATTGGTGTACAATGACATGCATCAACCAGGTCAGCAAATTTGACCACACGATCACATTAGTGGCCTCTTACGACAAGCATAGTCGCCTTGTACGGCAAGCATGGGTTGCTGAAGACCTATCCTAACCCAGAGATTCACAGGTCACCTGACACATGGACGAAGGATGACAGGAAGTTGTTGTCTGCAGCCCGAAGGTGAACAGCTCTACGCAGGGACATGTTTTCTCCGACACTGCCCACCTCAAGGGCAACCAGATCAGCCAGAGTCTGACCCTCTCCTGCCTGGAGATCTCGGAGAGCTGTGCCATCCATGCTTACCTGCAAAGTCACAAAGGACACTGTGAACACTATTATCACTTTATTAAATGCAAGAAAATGTCAATATATTTTGTCATAGTTCTTGAACTATTATTTTGTGAGACAAGAGGTGAAGATCTGTCTGACACGAGGACATGGTACAATACTACCTTCCTGTCTGGCTGGCTGAGGAAGTGTTCTTGACAGGCCAGGGCTAGACTTGATACCAGCTTCACAAACTTTTCATTCCGAGCCACAAAGTCGGTCTCACAATTCACCTAGAACATACCAAACAAACAAATATTCTTGAAATATGGCTTTGCTAAGAATGTTAAATCATAAACCCTGTCCCTTTACAATCATTTAATGTTCTCCATCAGATGCAATGGAAGTACAGAAACCTGTGACACTGAGATTCAGCAGCTCTCAGATGTTGCAAACCAATATCAATATGACAGCTTCCACATAATCTGAACTTTGTATTCATATGGAATAATAGCTGCACATCTATTTCTAAATGACAGGTCACAGCCAATGCTCAGTTCAGATTTACATAATATAACTCTTAACAATATAATTGTTTATAAAGCTTCTCACCTACCTCCACCATAGTGGCTGTCTGCTGCTAACCTACCTCCACCATAGTGGCCGTCTGCTGCTCACCTACCTCCACCATAGTGGCTGTCTGCTGCTCACCTACCTCCACCATAGTGGCTGTCTGCTGCTCACCTACCTCCACAATAGTGGCTGTCTGCTGCTCACCTACCTCCACCGTGGTGGCCGTCTGCTGCTCACCTACCTCCACCATAGTGGCTGTCTGCTGCTAGCCTACCTCCACCATAGTGGCTGTCTGCTGGTCCCCCACCACACCAACTGTCTGCTGCTCACCTATCTCCACCATAGTGGCTGTCTGCTGCTCACCTACCTCCACCGTGGTGGCCGTCTGCTGCTCACCTACCTCCACCATAGTGGCTGTCTGCTGCTAACCTACCTCCACCATAGTGGCTGTCTGCTGGTCCCCCACCACACCAACTGTCTGCTGCTCACCTACCTCCACCATAGTGGCTGTCTGCTGCTCACCTACCTCCACCGTGGTGGCCGTCTGCTGCTAACCTACCTCCACCATAGTGGCTGTCTGCTGCTAACCTACCTCCACCATAGTGGCCGTCTGCTGCTAACCTACCTCCACCACAGTGGCTGTCTGCTGCTCACCTACCTCCACCATAGTGGCTGTCTGCTGCTCACCTACCTCCACCGTAGTGGCCGTCTGCTGCTCACCTACCTCCATCATAGTGGCTGTCTGCTGCTAACCTACCTCCACCATAGTGGCCGTCTGCTGCTAACCTACCTCCACCATAGTGGCCGTCTGCTGCTCACCTACCTCCACCATAGTGGCTGTCTGCTGCTCACCTACCTCCACCATAGTGGCTGTCTGCTGCTCACCTACCTCCACCATAGTGGCCGTCTGCTGCTAACCTACCTCCACCATAGTGGCTGTCTGCTGCTAACCTACCTCCACCATAGTGGCTGTCTGCTGCTCACCTACCTCCACCGTGGTGGCCGTCTGCTGCTCACCTACCTCCACCATAGTGGCTGTCTGCTGCTCACCTACCTCCACCATAGTGGCTGTCTGCTGCTCACCTACCTCCATCGTGGTGGCTGTCTGCTGTTCACCTACCTCCACCGTAGTGGCTGTCTGCTGCTCACCTACCTCCACCATAGTGGCTGTCTGCTGCTCACCTACCTCCACCATAGTGGCTGTCTGCTGCTCACCTACCTCCACCATAGTGGCTGTCTGCTGCTCACCTACCCCCACCATAGTGGCTGTCTGCTGCTCACCTACCTCCACCATAGTGGCTGTCTGCTGCTCACCTACCTCGAACATAGTGGCTGTCTGCTGCTCACCTACACCGAACATAGTAGCTGTCTGCTGCTCACCTACCTCGAACATAGTGGCTGTCTGCTGCTCACCTACCTCCACCATAGTGGCTGTCTGCTGCTCACCTACCTCGAACATAGTGGCTGTCTGCTGCTCACCTACACCGAACATAGTGGCCGTCTGCTGCTCACCTACCCCCACCATAGTGGCTGTCTGCTGCTCACCTACCTCCACCATAGTGGCTGTCTGCTGATCCCCCACCACACCAACCAGACCCTGTGACATTGGCCGATTCTGTAACTTGGTAGCCTTTGCCCATCCTTCCTTCTGTGCCTGTTCCTGCAGCCATTTTTCTGCCTGTTATTAGAAATGCAAAAACTTAAATTTCACAGTTTTACTATGCACAACTTGAAATAAATCAGGCTTTCAATTTATATCAATCGCAATTGGAATTTTGCTGAATTGTCAGATGAAGGATAATTAACATGGTCCAAAAACATTGGGTTGTTTTATTTGTAATCTATTTTTTTAACACTTAGTTTCACTTTTGTTCACACTTACATATTACATCTGCAAAATAACAGTATGCTATATTGAAGTGCAATCAATACTTAAAGAGGGTCATATGAGTGAGTAAGTAAGTGAATTTGCCAGTTACATCATGTCATGTCAACATAATGTGGGAGGGAAGCCTGAAGTGATGCAGATTGCAGACATTTACCACTTTGGTGAAACCAACAGGCACGGGGATGGTGCTGACAAACCTTGAAACATAATCGGAGCAAACCGGGATTCAAACCTACAACAAAATATTCCTGTCATGCCCAAGGGATGCAACTCTGCACAGCAATTTGTGGCACCTTAGCTGGGCCACCCATCCCCCCGGTCATATGACCATACCTGGTCCTAGTTGAAAAGTTATTTATGATAATTGTGTATTTGATAAAAAGTTTGACAAAAGGACATAGAGAACCTTAAGTAGCAAGAATCTAATTCTCACATTGAGCATTCAGAGAATAATCTAAAACAATCGAACATACTTGTAAGCCAGTACTAACCAGCTCTAAGTCGCCATCAAACTGGTCAAGGGCCTTCTTACAGCTGATGAATGGAAATCCTGTCTTCTTCCTTAGCTTGCTAAGTAGAGCTTTGTCAGCTCCTGTCTGACCTGTGGCCAGTTCACGGGTCAGTGTGATACTAACTGCCCGCACAATGCAGGTGTGTATTTTCATCATACCTGTAATTATATATTACATCAAATACTTCAAACAACTTCTGCAGACTTCTGCAATTACTTCTGCAGACACGTGGCCCAAACAGGTTTGCTACCCCAGATTATATGCTTTTCTCTACATGTTATCAGTCACTACTAAGCCATCCACAGATTCATTTATGCAAAGCAGTATAAAACAACATTCACTTATTGTTATAGCGATGTGGGGATTATAAGGCAAAAACTGTTCCTAATCCCATGCTTGTCATATGAAATACTTGAAGGGAATCAGGTTTGTTTGTTGTTGAAAATTGTACGCAGCAATTTGCCATCTATATGACAGCAGCCTGTAAATAAGTTTGGACCAGACAATCCAGAGATTGATATTGTGAGCAACAATCCATGTCTCGGGATGCAATGACATGCAATACACCAAATTTCTGAGCATTACCACCCATCCATTCCATCGGCTCTTACGACCAGCACTAGCTGCGCTTTGAACAGTAGTTCAGTTACATGGGGTGAGAACTGGTGTGTCCTAGGTGTTGCATGTCACAAACGCTACACGTCAAAATGGACGCATGAAAAATATGAATGGCTACAAACACAAGTCAGAATTACCACATTAGTCCAGTAACATACTGTCATAACCTGGTTATTTACAAGTAACACATTTATAATCACCAATTTCGTACTACGTACTACAGTGTCCTTTCTCTGGCGTTAATGGGATTACGCTAACATCATCAAGGAATGATGCAATGTGCATGACGGCACACTTACTTAATTCTACCATATATTAATCTGTAATTCCATCTAGTGTAACTAGTTTCTGATAATATACAACGACCCACCTTGTAACATGATGACCATGTAGTTTGTTTCCCACCCGGTACATGCAAACACGTGAAACTTGGAAACAGATCTTCTGTCATTAGAGGAAGGCTTTTTACGTAGGGAGAAATCATTGTGGTTATTGGTAGTGTGGGGTCCTTTTAGGGTTTGCAGAAATCTGGTATTCAACTTTCAAATAAGGTTTCAAGTCAGATTTTTCAATACTACTACTCAGTCACTCAACCCTTCCATTTCCGTCAACAGCATGTAGTGTTTTATGTACAGCCTGGCGCATCCCTCTTGCTTTTAAGCATACTAATCACGCATTTAAAAACAAACATAAAAAATAACAATTAAGTAATAGACTATTTTCATATTTTCAATTCAGAGGTATTTTAATATTCCGTTCGTTTCTTTAATTGAGAGAAATGTTAATACAATATTCAATACAATAATGTACAACGAAGTATGATCCGGCTTTCAGTCATCTCTGCAAAGCTAAAACATTAATTATAATAATGATAACCTGAACTTGGATATTTTATTTTCAGTTTGAACATTTAAAGCAACATTTGGCGTAGACTACAGTGGAATACTCAGATAAATCCCTGTCATGAGTGCAACATTAAACTTTTTCGTGAACAGCAACACACATGCAACTCGGATAAGCAATTGTTAATCGTAAACGTATTAACTCTGGAGTTCACCCGTTCAATAACATTCAAGGAGGCAGGGGTGGCCCAATCGTCTAAGGCGCTGCAATTCGTTGAGCACTGTTGGGTTCCTTGTAGACGTGTCAGAAACCTATGATAGTGGGTTCGAATCTCGGTCCGCCCTGATTATGTTTCTAGGTTTGTCAGCACCACACCCGAAGTCGTGGGTTTCACCAATTGGAAAGTAGGGACCTGCATCACTTTGGGCTTTCCTCCGGCATTAAGCTGTCACGCCGTACATATCACTGAAATACGCATTGTTCTAAGCGGCTTAAACCCAATTAACTTACTCAATAGTGTGGCGTTAAACAAGAAACTGTATGATTTGAGCAAGGAGTAATACGGTCATATTCAGTTTAAAAATTGTAACTAACTGCTGACGGATAATCCTCAAACCTGGGCCCCGTTACACAAAGCTATCTTAGCGCTAAGGTGATCGTAACTCCCATACTTTAACATAGGCTTGCGACAGTCGTAGCGCTAAGATTGTTTTGTGCAACGGGCCCATGCAGGACATTATTTGTACAGAATCCATTTCTGCCTATTTGTCTGAGGTTGGCGTTTTCTTATAGTGGCTGCTATAACTATATATTATACTTACCCATAACGCGTTTAGCAGAGTGACAACTTTCCACAACGCAGCTTCATATATCCAACAGCGTGCAAAACTTAAGCCTGTAACAAGCAAACCAGTGGATGATAGCGTGAACACCGAACGCGCCGTCCGCGTATTATATTTTACAAAGCTAGAGGACCATGTGACATACTGGGGGTCCTATATTTGAAAAGTCACCTATGCTAATTGATTCAGTCACAATCTTAAAGGTCACCCATTTACACCCCCCCCCCCCCCCCCCCACCCCCCCCCCCCCCCCCCCCACCCCACCCACCCCCACCCCCACCCCACACCCCAACGCACACACACACACAAAAACGCCTATGTATTCATCTTACCTCACGCAGGAGCTGAAACGAGTATAATAATTTTTATATATGAATACAGGCACATGTGTCTTTCTCTTAAGCTATGCTTCATTGGATACATATCCAAATATGGTAGTGGCCCGGGATACATACGGTGGCACATCTGTGAACGGTGCAGGTAGTAATAAGTCTCTTACTCTCTCACTCTCCCGATTGTAAAATGTGTATATGCCATGACTTTACAATCGTCTATTACATTTAAACTCCTTTATAAACCATCGCCGATTGTGCTCGAAAACCTATATCATGATATATAAAAATAAAAGAAAAAGAAACATATAATGGGAGAAAAACGTTTTTAACAAAATTGTGATTTTTGTTTGTTTATTCCAAGAAAGTGCACTATTTATCAATATGTGTATGTGCACGCCTACATTAAACAAATTAACAAGACTTGCTTTCCCATGGATTAAAAACTCCGGGAAATGTGCTTTGTTTTCTGTGGAAAAAGAGAGGTGTCTTGAACTGAATACACCCTTTTATGAAGGAGATAACGCTCTCTTTCTGAAAAAGAATATTGTTTATAAAGATTACATTGATAAAAAGTTCAAAAAGGTATTCCATTCCTGTCGTACATCTATTTACGTCAAGCAGCAAAACCAGGGTAACTACGTCATAAGCGTTACTGTAAGAACAAACGGAATATATAACGGGAGATAACTGTTTGGGGCCTGAATAGTTAGCGAAATCCCGTTTACAGACGAGATCACACTTGCCATGCTAAGAAAATGGCGGATAGACGTCGGAGAAGACGAAGAGAAGATGGAGGAGAAGATGAAGGCGGGGCAACCGATACACTAAAAGAGGGCTCTACCAAAACTAGAGCTTCTGAATGTGTTAGTTACGTTTTTCATGCTAAATACTGCCGACGGAAATGGAGGGACTATGTCAAATCGTTTCGTTGAAGACAAGTCTCGTCTTCAGAAAGTTCAGAATGTTTCGCATTTTTAGAATTCATTCATTCCAAAACTTGGAAATCCTTGTTAATATTGTTCATTTTGACAATTTTATACACGTGCCGATAGTTAATGAACTGTTTTATTTAGATTTTAAAATCCGGGGTTGTTCAGTAGAGTCAGCTCTGTTCTTCCCGTGATTATCGTGCTTCTCATTCGTCTTGGTAGGCATATCTACAAAATGTAAAGAAAAAATAGGTTTGTTTATCATGGAAGGTTGTATGCTTTATATGACCGACCATAATTAATTGTATTTTTAAGCAATGTAAGATCAATGTGGACATTAGCTTCTTCAAGTCTGTGGCTGGCCGTTTTGTAATATTGTAATGCCTTTTCTAACTATGGCAACTTTTAACATGCCTGATTATCCTTACCCATTGTAAATGCAACAAAATTCATATATCATCACTCCAACAGACCATATAACCACTTTACAGGTGATCGATGGGCCAGGTCACGTTTTCCTTACTGACAAGCAAAGTTGGACCCTAATTGGTTAACCTCTTTCGGGTATATCTGTATCCTATGGATGCCATTAATATTTCATGCCAAGAAGTCTAGTTTCTTGCTCTGCAACAAAAATTGGAGTTGCACCTGACTTGACACTGTCAACATTGATCTTGCCTTTTATCCTGTCTCTCAGTGTTTGCTCGGGTACAGAGAAGTTTAATGCCGCTTTATGAACTGCAACTTTATTGTTTTTGACTTCTAAGTAAGAATTAGTCAAAGCTGTAGGCGAGTAACTTTTGTATCCCTGTCGTGAAGGCATTGGTGAACCCTAAGAAAATGAAAAAAAGCTATACGAGATAGCCCGAAAATGTTTCCATAGTTTTTTAATTTTAACTGACGGCAGCACCTCAAGTCACATGACTTATGTTTATGGACATCTAGACAATGAGTCGATGAGATGTGAGAAGGGTGGTGCTTACCATATATATTTTATTTGATGTTTTGTAAATATGAAATTTGGTATTAGTGATCTGGGGCTATTTATCTCAGTGTTGGACATTTGTTTTTTCTGTATTTATGTGTAATATAGTGATTAGGAACATTTTTGTCAGCAAGGTGTGTGAGCAAGTCAAATGAGACTTAATTTACGAGATATCACGATAATTACCGCAATCCATGAATCAAGGTTATCAACAAATTTAGGAAAGGTTTTGTATATAACCAAAAATGGAGAAGATATATTTGATGTTTTCATTGTCCTCTTAATTTTTGCTGCAAGCTCCTAGGTCCCTGTTAAAGTGGTTTACATTCCAAAATCCATAATACCTATTGAACAAGAATCACCAAGTAATTAGTATGTGTATAAGCATGATAAGTTGGTTTTTACAGGTGCAGGATAAAACAGCATCTCATCAAAATTGATGGCGAAAAGACCATCTCCGTGGTCTAGTGGTATTGTTTTGATAATGATAAGAACAGATTTTATGCTAGCCATTGGTGATATTCATATATTCTTCATTTATATTTAGGGCTGCAATGATACAGGAACGTCACGATACGATACGTATCGTATCGTGACCAGAATATCGAGATGCGTATCTCGATAAGCAATGATAAAAAAAAAACAAGACTTAAAGCATGGAAAGATTGAACCTTTCATGATTTTGGAACAGTCAAAATTATTTTATATAACAAGACTACTGAAGTTGTTCAACTTTCCTTCAAAACAATTCAAAGTTCAAACACCAGGAAATAATTAATGTACTCCACCAGGGATACAACTTCAAAGAATTTTGATGCAATGGTCGAAGAAATTGTATCTGAAATTATTGTTTTATCAGGAATAATTTATTCCAATATCGTGTTACCTTAGTTGCAGCTTTTACTATATAATTATATATTTATAATTATAAGAACCACAAGTGTAACATTTTGGTACTGGTAATTTTACTACTAATTTTACGTATGGAACAATTTGACCAGTCACCCTAGGGACTTCCCGTGCTACATGTATTTCGATTGCGATAACGTTATGTTGACATATTTTAGCCAAATTGCCACAAATATGACTTTTAATGAGTATGGCATTTTTAATATATGTATCCATTCTCAGGCAACTAAAGTTCGTTTCAATGTGTCAAAAGCGGTAATCTGACCGTTGTTGCTGTATTTCTTCACACACGATTTCACATAACTTAATGAGAACAATATTAAATGAAATTTTGAATAAAATTAATAAAATATATTACAAACACAAGTCCAGATATACAATGAACAAGTTTTAATAACAAGATAGTATAATAATGGTATTGAATTGCGTACTTCAGTTCGTATTTGCTGACTGGTATTTTCGGTGTTATGTGCTTGCGGTGATCAGCTGATAATGTTTTATGAGATGGGGAAAAACATCTGTCAGTGTAAAACCTGAGCTTATTAAAAATGTAAGTACGTTTTTGGGAGCCATGCGTTAGCGCGCTCTATAACCAAGTTAGCGGTTTATTGAAAGGCACAATACCGAGGAAACGCTGTACTTGAGATTTGCGTTCCGTATCGTGGCGTATCGATAAATGGACCCACGTTTATCGTATATCGTATCGTGGGTCAAGTATCGCGATGCATCAGAATATCGGTGTATCGTTTCACCCTTATTTATATTATATCAATGGTTCATGACCAAAGTGTCAAAAATCTTTTATGTAGTAGGACTGAAATAAGGAATGGCGAATTTGTAATGTTGTAATGTTCAGTACCGAACTACCCAAAAGCCCGGCTTTGTGCATCAATGCTAAGGACCCTACTGACGAAATTATGATGGGATTAGTAGAGATAAACAAAGCAATTAGTGGCACCAAATTACCTTATGGCTTCGTCAGCATTTCTCTACTCCCTACTTCTCCCTGTTAGATTATAAAAGTCAAAATATACATAGTTTTAAGATCAAAGTGATCAATGTTACTTCTAGACAGGACAGAGGAGACCTACACTCATGTTCAGTTAGACTTTGAGAAAGCTACACACAAAACCATTGTAACTGTGTTCCCGAACTCACATGTGTGAGGATGTTTCTTTCATTTTACCCAGGGGGCAGTCGGGTAGCCTAATGGTTAAAGCGTTCACTCGTCACGCCGAAGACCCGGGTTCGATTCCTGACATGGGTACAAGTGTGAAGCCCATTTCTGGTGTCCCCCGCTGTATTATTGCAGGAATATTGCTAAAAGCGGTGTAAAACACTACTCACTCACTCATTTTACCCAGTGTCCAGAAGCTAGGTCTCACGGATGAATATAAAACTTGACAGATCTGGACTATGTCGACTCAGCCACCTGGCCAATTTAGACTGATGATTTTTCCTCGCAAAGTGCATTTGCATATGAATTCTCATGAACTGTATTATGATAGTAAACTGTTTAAAACAATACAAAACAGTTGTTGCATTAATTCCATTAAATGGTGGCAATATATGTATATTTCTTGTTTTCTTTGCTCAGCATCGAACTGTCAAAAGTACCAGGAGCAATTAGCCACAACCGACATCAATCTGTTGAAAATATTTGAGTTCATAAACCCATGACCAGCACCAAAATCTACCTCTGTTTTAGATTTTCGACACTTCGGGCCTATACCATATTTATCATTGTCATCTATCATCCACAAATATCATTGTTATCTGTCATTGTCTCATAGAGTGTCACATTCTATGGCATTTTACAACACTGATCTTTGAACAAACAAAAAATAATAATATTAAGACGTTTGCTTTTAATATTTTCATTTTAAATAACTTTTATATATCTTTTTTTTTGCAAATACTTCAAAATAAAATAGTTAACTGTCACGGCCATCTTTGTTATCTAAGACTAAATTAATGAGGAAATGTTGATGTCTGATATGTCTGGTACTCTTGCTTCATCTGTCTGGTTTTCTTCTGTATCTTTTGATTGTAAACTTAAGTCAAAGTTCATGTAAAAAAATAGGTAGGCAATAGTAGCTCTTTTCTCTTTATGCAAGGATCTGTTTTCACCAGTTGGTGAAGTTTTTGCTCGGTGAAGTGTAGCTGAGGTGCCAATTTAGCTATAACCCTGTCATTGTGTTTTGAAAATCTCCTTGTTGCATGTTGGGTAATGTTTTGTATTCATTTGGTATCTTTCATGCAGTTTCATTTTTTAGCTGATAACTAATCATGTACAATAGTTAGGTGGTGAGGACCTATTTGAACATCACTCTTTAATGAATCAAATATTGACACACGCAGACTGAAAAGGGTCAGATAAATTAAGTTTCCATGCAAGATATTTATAAGATATCAAAAAAATTCTGAACACTGTTTCTATTACTTGTAAAAATAGAATCTTTTATCTCTCTTTTCAGGAAAGTGAAGGAGAAGGCAATGGAGGAGGTAATGAATGTTTTTCATTTAGTTATTTTGCATGACAGGCTAAATTGTACTCAAAATCTAGTGAAAAATCTGATTTGGGCAAATTATGTTTGTATGAGCAGTGGTATTAACAAGCCATGAATCATTGAAAGTGATACTGATTCCTAAGGTAAAGAAAGTCATTGTCAGCTTGGGCACATTCAATAGTTTTTATCTTAAACATGTTAAATGGACACACTTATACTGGGCAGAGACAAATGAAATGTTACTTGTACTAGTAGTCAAGGTAGTTGTCTAGTTTGTACTAATACTTTTATAACATAAGCCTCTATTCTGAAATGTGTTGAAGATTTAATATGTGATGAACTTGTGACTTTTTATTAACCATGTGCAGATGTGCTTTCTGAGAACGGGAGTGCATCAGAAAAGAAAGTGAAAGAGGTAGGTCATGTGTACCACAACCAGTGATTGTTAAGATGTGTCACCAGACTAGTGGAAATCTGAAACGAATACATGTTGTCTCCTTAATTTAGTTAATTTTACATCACCAATTGTCCAAGATTATTTGGGGACTTGTTAGATTTAACTTGTAGTTTTCCAGAGAATTTGCTGAAAATATATTAGCCAATAATATGGTTATCATGTATGCACAGGAGCAATTGTGTCAAATATTCAGTGCAATTCACAATGGACAGTATGATTCAAGTCCATAGAAAGGAAGTATTGTCTTGTGTAAAATAGAATATGGTCATCTGCTTTGGTAAAAAATTCACTGAATATTCACTGAAGGATGAAGAGGATAGTGAGGAGGAATCAGACTCATCAGAAGAGACGGATTCAGATTCAGATGATGATGACGATGATGATGAAGAGGAAGACGAGGATGAAGAAGCATATGATGATGATGTCATCATAGAGGATGATGGCAGCTGGGTAGAAGAAGAAAGGCAGAGTGGTGATGGAGAGGTATGTAGGCACCTGGTAGTCAAGTAATGCAGATGAGGTCTGTGGTCTCTATGAAAATGGTTGCCATTATTTTTATTCGTTACATGCATTATTATCATTTATATCATGTCAAGAATTCATTTGATTTAGGGCTTGGAGACATGTTTAAACAGAAAACTGTCTTGATTAATTTAGTCATGTATTTAGGATACGTCTATTCTCTCAGATTGTCAAATCCTAAATATTTCTTTTATATACCTAGTTTCTAAAAAATTGTCCTGTTTGTAGGAACAGCAAGAAGATGGGAAGAATCTTGATGATGATGAAGACCGGAAGAATCCTGCATACATCCCTCGGAAAGGGGCCTTCTATGAGCATGATACTCGCATGCATGGAGGTGGGGAGACCCAGCAGAAGGAAGAGGAAGACGATCAGCGGTAAGCAGGAATGAATATTTGGAATATCACTGTTGATCTGTAAGACCTCGTCCCTGAAACTATTTTCTGAAAACGGCACCAAATAGCTAAGATTGCTACTGTTCTTCACTCTTTGTTTGCTTTTACTTCAGACCTAAGAAGAAGTTGTGGAAGGATGAGGAAAAGTGGCTGCATGATCGTTACCGGGATGACCAGCAGGCACCAAAGTCTCGGGAAGAGCTGATAGCCATCTATGGTTATGATATTCGTGCCTATGATAAGCCACCTGACAGTGCTCCGAAACGAGGAATGGGAAAAAGAGGGTAGGAGCATTAGCTGGGTTTTTTCACAAATTTCCAAGATTTACATATAAATATAAGGTCAACATCTGAAAACATTTTATCGCATGTTGACATGTTTTCAGCCATACATGATTCTGAGTGTTTTTTCTTTTATCTCCGACTATGAACATGATGAAGTGGGGCGTGGGATACCGAGTTCGTCCTTCTTGAAGGGGTTAAATTTTCTCAAAAACTCTTAAAGTTAGAGAAATGAAATTTTACACACTGATGTTACTGGTCATGACCTCAAATGGGTTAAAAATTGGTGTCATAAATTCATTTTTTATAGAGTCATAGTCCTTGCCCTGTGCTTTTCAACTTAGTGCATACAGCATGAAATGGATACAGTTTTTCTCAGAAATTATAGAAGTTACGTGAATGAAAGTTTGCATGCTTATCTAAGAGATACTTGTCAAGACTGAGCCCAAAATTTGGTCCTGTCAATTATTATAACACAATTATTGCCTTTGCTCCATGCTTTTCAACTCAGTGCATACTATGTGAAATGGGGACAAGGTGTCTCAGAAACTATAGATGTTACGTGTATCAAAGTTTGCATGCGAGTTTGAAAATTGGTCCGGCAAATTATTGTTTTATTTTTATTATTCTTCGCGAGAAGGGGCTTTTTGTGCATTTATTTCACATTTTATCATTTTTTCTAATGACAAGACGGACCAGGTGCCTATATTTTTAAGGGTTAATAGGACTGTGTTTTTTTTTAATAGTTTATGTTAACTACTATGTGAACAAACAGAATTCTAATGAGCCCCATGTTCTTACTGACTGTGCCAAAACATTTCATTTGACCAGCTTGAAGTAGAAGGTATGAGTGGGCATTGGTCAAATGGTGATGAGTTGGATCTGCTAGTCTTGATGTGGATCACAGATTCCCCCTGATTTTGGTCCTTGGCAGCACTACCTGTAAGCATAGGATTTACAAAAGGGAATTGTCCAAGAGCTGCATCACTTTTTCTTCTTCCCATGTAGCTGACATACCCTGATAAAACTAAAAAGATACTGTTCAAAGTTGCTCGCTCGCTCGCTCGCTTGCTCACTCACTCACTCACTCACTCACTCACTCACTCACTCACTAGGTTAAATTCTCCCCCCCCCCAAAAAAAAAATATATTCAAAACCCAATTACTTTCAATTAACTTGCGTACAGAAAGGCATGCATTAAATGAAAAACCCAAATATATAAAAACAGCTTGCATATATATACCCAATAAAGTGTTCAAAGGAGCTGATTTCCGAAACACAATTACAAGCTAATTTACATTCTGAGTCAAACCTATATATTAAGAACAGTTATGTACATCCAAACATTTTTTTTAAAATCTTAAAATGTTCGCTAATTTTAGGTAAAACCCAATAGAGTGATAGATTAGTGAAGAAATATTGGTTACCAAATGAAAAATGTAATAACCGAATTAAAACATAAACCCTCGAGTAAAAACTCAATTGCTCCAAAAGTTATCTGGAGCTCTGTAAAAAATAGAACAATTAACAGACACTGATTGTTTTTACTTTATTTTGAATAGAGGCCGACGGGGACAAAGGAGACTTGGGGACTTTGTCCCAAGCCAGCGGATGAAAACAGAGCTAGATAACAGGACCTCATATAGTGATCTTGCCAATGAGAATGATATGAGATCACCTCGTGAATATATGACTGAAATTCGAACAGGTCCTGACTACAGGAGTCAAGACAATCGCTCTCAGTATGATAAAAGAGCCAAAAATTACCACAACCAGTCACAAGATTACCGTAATCAAGCCCCAGATGGCAGAACACAAGATGCTCGCCAGGAACATAGATCACAGGATTACAGAAATCAGGACTATGGTAGTAGATCTAGTCAAGATTACAGAGTATCTCCTGAAAAATCCCAGGATTACAGAAATCAGTCTGACTCGAGATCTGGGTACAGGGGACATTCTGATTACAACAATCAGTATCAATCAGATTACATACAGAGGAATAATATGGATAATTCTCGGGGAAGAGGGCGTGGGCGTGGAGGAAGAGGCAGGGGCAATAGAGGCAGGTATTCTGACTCCCCAGAAACATCCTATACTCAGAGTCGGCCCCGCCAGTCCACATCACCTAGGGAGTTTACAAACACTACATTGAAAAACCCAGGGCAGGATGCAGAACAAGAACCTCGAGTAGAGCATGAAGCAGACTCTTCTGAAATTAAAGAGAAGTCCCAGAGTCAAGATGTTATCATCTCCAACAAAGAAAATGTTCAAACTATAAGTGTGACAATTACAAACACAACCACCGAGAAGAAATCCTATTCTAAGGATCGTCGCAGTAAAGTTGTAGGTCGAACGAGGGTTCAGGACACAGTGGTCAATGCTATAGACCCAGGTGTTGGATCTATGGCCATTGAGAGTCCTGCAAAGGCGCCACAAGAGGAGAAAAATGGTCGAGGTATGTGCATATTGTGTTTGTGCATAGCTTAAGGGAAAGGGAGATATGTGTTACAACAAAATGGTGAATGTTCAAGTGCTGTGAATGGCATGATACCATTCCCTAATGTGAGGTTAATGGGGAGAACATAGTACATAACTGATTTGTATTCATTTCCCTCTCAATTGCTGTGTGTAACCCTGATTGTGATTGACCCTTTCTAGCAGCAGCCCAGCAAGGTGGTACCAGTAAAATAGTTGACAAACAGCAGTTCCCACCCCGCCTTCAGAACACAGCTTCTAAACCAGACATTGGACAGCAGAGTCGACCTAAGCGTTACTCCTCTCAGCGGCAGAGGAACATCCCTGACGTCAACTACTCAGACCAGGTGTCTGTGGACAGTGGAACATACTACAATCCCGGTATGTGCTACCTCGAATGTTTATCACACTTATTCATGTAGTGTGAAGCTGTTTGTTGCTCTGTAAGCATGGTAGTACTGGTAAGGTATGTTTGCTGAGTAAGCTGTGACATGTTTAGGAGACACATTGGTATTGATGCCGTGCACGCTAACCCTCCCTGCGCCCTCTGTCCCTGCAGCTGCCCCAGCCTACACTCCACCTATGTACCGCCCTGAGCAGTCTGTTGCACAACCTCCACAGCCATCACCACCACGTCTCCCTCAGCCTCAGCCCCAAGACACGGCTGGCTTCCAGACAACAATACTACAGCCTCCCATGGGCTTTCCATTACCAGGTAGGCCATTGCAGATCTTGCTGTCAGTGCTTTGTTCAACTAGAAAAAGGACAATGCTCATGAGAGACAAAAAACTTGAGACAAGTATATATTGTATTTCAGTTTTAAGTATCTTGGTTGTGAACCAGAGAAGTGCCTTATCTGGCTACCTGTTTCATAAGGCTGGATTTGTCGTAAAGCTGCAGTGATTGTATTTGAATTGTTATTAACTATTGTTGGAATAGATCACTGAGGTGGTAGACTCACTGGTACCAAGGGTTTTTTTTCAGGCTCTCCAGAAAGTCTTGATTTTTGTGACCTTTGGCCTTTTCCTATGATTTTTAAGTGTAACATGAAATGCTTGTTATCATGGTTACTCTTCAACGATCTGTGATGTGTTCCAGTGTCTACGGCAGGTCTGCCAACTGTTCCCCCACGATTGTATGCCCCAGGGCCAACCCCAGCTGTCACCATGACTGCACCATCTGCCATCATACAGCCACAGTTCCTAGGAACAGGTGTTCCTGGAGTGCCACAGGTTGTGTATGGGGCTCCCCCAGGACCATACCCGATGACAGTGGGATACCCCTCACCTCCCCCTCCCCCTCCACAGCAGGTAATAGATTCAAAGGATCTGTCTAACTCTTGATTTAGATCTAAAAAATGTGACATAGCAGCATCAGTACCCTTCTGCATCTAAAAATGTGTAACATGGTGATACCATTTGCTGACATATCAATTGTTTTTCAGTGATATTTGTCTAGTGTAGACAAATTATGTTTTTAAAAAAAGCAAACAATAGGATGTCTGTAAAGAATTTGTGCTTCCATCTTGTCTTCTAGATTCAGGCTGTATGAAATTGTGACAGAACCAAATTATATCAGCGTTTTCCTTTGTTTGTGTAGGGTGCAGCAGCTCCAGCTCCGCCAAGCAACACAGGGCAGGAGTTGTTTAGAGGCGGCACTACATACTATGCCCCCGAGCTGCAGCAACCAAGCCCTAACAGATCACCACAAAAGAGACCTAAGGCTGCCATACCTATAGTAAACCCTATTGTAAGTTACATTTCATGTATCTGTCTCCAATCTTTGTTCAGCTTTTGGATAATCTTGAAGTCTTCGTATTAGCTTTAAGACTAATCAGTTTATGGTTGTAGTAGGTAAATGTGTTCAATGTGTTATCATGGTTTTGTTCTGAGGCCCTGGCACATGAACAAAAACAGACCACCATGAAGTATAACTGCTTTGATGACATCCTGATGTTTGATCTGGATACATGATTTTACTTCACAGGAGCACAAGAAGAATGGCAGGACTGCTTATGAGAGGGAAGAGTCATCACGGGCAGTTCATCCAGTTGTTGGTGCTGAAATGGACAAGGGGGAGACAACTTTCTCACCAGTCCCTGACAGTAGTGATGGTGATGGAGATCCTAGCCTGACAGCAGACTGTCAGCAGGCAGAGTTACCACTGTATGAGAGTGCCACATATAAAGCCTCACAAGAAAATAGTGCTAGCAATAATGAACAGAACGATTCTTTTGTGCAATCTACTGACATTAACATAAGTGATGCAAAAACTGAACTAGATCAGAATATGATTTCTTCTGATCACTTTAGTAAAACTACTGAAGGCTCACCTGAAATGGAGTTCAGTCATCCTACTGACACTGCCCACAGTGAAGTTAGTCAACAATTGGTAGAGTCTATAAGTGACACTAGAATACCAGAGGACAAACTTACAGTAATTGCTCACTCTCAAGATCATATATTTGAAAGTAGTTCAAGTGTTTCAAAAGGTGTACCAAACGTAGCAGTAGAAATAACAAGAGACTTGGAAAATGTGTCATTGAATGAAACGGACACTACAAACCCTGCAAGGAGCACTGATGTTAAAGATGACGAGAGGAGAAAACCTCAAGTGCAAGAATTTTGTGTGAGGAAAGATTTTGAGGTTGCAGATATAAAGCCATCGGTTGCAGAGATTGATTCTGCAGTGGATGCAGGTGGTGACTCATCGCAATATGGAGGCTCAAAGATGCAGATGAAGTTAGAGATGGAAGAAGGTTCATCAGAAACTGATGTCACAGTTCCAGCCACTGCTGTGGAAGCCAGCAATTAAAGTGATCAATCATCTAGGATCCCACAGTTGAATGTTCTACATGGTTTTCAAGCTTTTGTTTCAAGCATTTTGGATGTTGTTTTGTCTGTATCAAAAGAATTTTTAGTGTACTTTAACATGTTTAAAGTGTTATTAAACATTCTGTGCGATGGTTTGATCAAGTCTAACATAGAAGTTGATTTTGTCTGCAGACTTTCCTCTTTACTTTGAATAAGATGCAGCTCCATAATTTTCACTGTCCAAGAGCATGAGAATTTTGAATTAGAGATATGTTTTAGTTGTGTGAAAGGCATGCCATAAATCTATGCTTAATGCCCTTTTTCAGCTTTTGCCTCAATGAATGTTGTTGAGAGAAAACAGCAGTTTTATCCAGTTTATTTGGTTCTGTTTCATTACAGAAATTGTCATGCCACACATAATGTATGGAAAGCTTATTTCCAGATTACCTATGACAAAATGATTTGGAAAGTGTCCAAATGGAATTGCCAGCACCATGAATATCAACATCCCTGATAATCAGTGTATCAAACACATTCATTCTATTAGGATATATACCCTGGACCCATTACCCCCCTTATCTTTTTTAGGCTGTAAAAACAGTACTCATCTCGGCTTTCATGTGCTGTCTTAAATACACCTGGAACGCCTTGATGCATAAGGACTTCCCCTCCCATCTTTCTACTGGGGAAAACATCATTCCCAGCTGAAAAGTCATTTATGAAAGTCTTCTGGTTCATTAATATATAATCAGAGCTCACTCGGATGACGCAGCAATTTTGAATGTAGAGCTATGCTGAACTTGATTTCAAGCTCATGTGAGAATAAATTCTGTGCTAGGTTAGTGATGAAACAGATTGAGCTGTTATGGAGACTGTGTCCAGGGTACTGATCAAAATGGAATGGAGTTCCAATACACTGGATAATCGAGGATTTCAACTCATACTGGTGAATTTGCTATTTTCAACTTAGAATATCTAGTTACAATTCTTCATTAAAAATAATGTTAATGAAGAACTTTAAGTACTACGTTATTTTTATTCTTCTAAGCAACGTTAGTTGTAATGGAGTTATCTTGTGTGAATGACTCAATATGAAGGCATCTTTCACAAAGTTGATTCATCCTAAAAGAAAGGTATTATTGAATCTTATTCATTTATAAATATATATATTCACACATGTATATCAGCTGTATTGCAATGTTTTCTCTACTGTTGCAAATATAACATTTGGAATATAATTTGCCATAAATTACAATTATATTACAAGATACAACGAAGGATATCTGTTTTTAAATGTATTATGTTAATCCTTAACTCAGGTTAAAAGGTCTAAGTAGGTTTATTAAGGTAGATTTATGTAACTAATAGTAATCTGTTACAACTTTATGAAAACAATTGTGTGAGATGTAAAACCATCTTTTGTTGTTCTGTTGGTGAAGCCAACTGCAACATATTTGTATGTGTACACATAGTTATTGACACATCAATTCATATTGTGAAGTAATATGGTTGAATATTATGTCCAATATAGCGTTTGCATAATGACTATACGCATGTTGTATTTAGAAGATAAAATCTTGTTATTATGAGGATTACTACATACACGTCTTTCAGGTCTATTTTTAAGCGTTCTTATGGAAATTATGTAATATGAAACTGATTAAATCTTTAAAATGCACATTTCGACATGAACGATAGGGATCTCTAGGACATTGATGGGGTTAAGTGTTTCTTGATGAACTGATCACTTTGAACAGTTATTTCCAGACTTTGGAATTGGTTTAAATGAATTATTACATTTTTGTATGCATTTTGTTCAGTTACCCTCTATAATATATGGCATGAGTAATAAAGACAGTTGTCCCTTGTGTCTTGATCATGTTGATAATTGAAATAGATTCAAAGATACAGGAGCCTGCATTGAAAGGGTTTTCTTAGAGTAATATTCTAAATTCTTGATTTTCATATGAAACTAGAAAACAAGCTTTTAGTTTGTTTTGAGAAAATATATCCACAATTTCCAGGATAAACTGTCAGGTTTGTAATGTATACTGAGACTATAATCTCCTCTTATCTAATTTGTGTAACTTATTTTTTTAGGTTGTGAAAACATTTACTCTGCAGAAAAAGAAACGCAAGAATTATTTTTAGAGTTATATTTTATATATCATGTAAATAATCAACAGATGTTGATTGATTGTTTAAAATTGGCATACATCATTGACCAGGCTCCACAAGGCACACATGGAACAGCACACGGAACAGTAGATTTTCAAGGTGAAGGTCATCTGTTCTCAGTATATTGTATGGCGACCAAAAGAGTTCAAAACTGACTGGCATTGTCATCCCATGGATGCAATCAGATCCCGAATTGTGGCCTGGGAATATTCACCCACTCTGCCTGCAGTGCTTGTATCAACTGTCAGAGGTTCTCTGGTTGTTGCAGACATGCTCACAGTCGTTGATCCAGTGCATCCCATTCATCACATTAATGTTCCATTGGGTTTTAATCTGGAGACCTGGAAGACCATGGCAGGACCTGGATGTTGTGATTCCTGAAAAAGTGTTGCCGTGTGAGGTTCGGGCATTGTCTTGTTGGAAAATGATGTTCGCTGTTGCATAATGGGAAGGATGTGTGGCCGAAGAATCTCATCTGTGTAACGTTGTGCCGTTAAATTCCCCAGAACTTGCACAATGTCTGGTGTACCAGTGTAGGAGATGACTGCCACTTCCTGTATGCAGTTTCATGCATAAGTTTCCCCGCGATGCCAGTTAACACGTCTACCATCTGCACGGTGAAGCCTAAAATGTGACTTGTCACTAAGCCAAACTTGTCTCCATTGCAGTTGTGGCCATATTCTGTGACCTTGACACCACTGACGTCACAGCTGGTCGTCTAGCATGAATACCTTCAGCGCATAAACAGTTCCTCACTGTCTGAGCTGATATCCTACGCATTCCTGGTATTGCCATAGTCTTAGAAGTGGCCATGGTGGTTCTTTCATGTAAGTGACATACCCCTATAAACCTGTCCTTTGCAATCATCCGATGGCATGGTTGCATTGGGCCTCCGTCAGATGTTTTTTTTCGGTGTTCACTTGTCTGTAAGATTGTGATGGCATGTAAATGAAAACCCAACATGTTTATAGCCCAACAAGTGATGTTGCATGTGCATGTCATGTTGGTGTGTTTTGGCGCCAGGTTCTCATGTGGTTGTTTAGTGATTTTTCCATCTTTCCACCAAATTTCTGTAGTAGGACAAATCAACCCCAATCCAAGCAACTGTTTTGGTGTTAATTTTGTATGGATGTTGGCAACACTGTCAGATATTTACAAGTTGAACTACTTTTGCGTTTCATATTTTTACAGAGTACCGGGTTTATCTAAAATTTAAAAACATTTTTTGTTGTTTTTCAAACAGAACGCAAGCACTTGTAGAAATTTGGTTATACCTTGGAAATTAAAGATGTACATTATATGACTGATATTTAATTACATTACTTTGTTTCTACTTTGAAGCAGTGAAGCTTATATATTTGTGTATGTGCCATTATCACCCTGTCAGAGGATAGGTAAATGTTCTACTTGCATCTAGATGCACCTTTGTAATGTGTATACTAATAAGCAGAGGCGTGTTTATTTGTCTATAACTGTGTACATGGTGTGTAATATGTATGTTTCCATGGTGCGAAGCATGCTTGATTAGCGTTTGAATAAAGACATCTAATAAGTTGCTGTAAATAAAAAAGGTTTTGAAAGTTTTGTTTTGATATTTTGTTGTGTGAATGTTCTTACAATGATGATGAGCAATAGTCTCACCAGCTGCAGAAGTTCTGACTTTGAAAAGGATCCTTCGCCCAGGACTTCAGGCACAGGACTGTATCATGAGATGAGGACTGTTCACATGCGATCATATTGTACCTGGCTTGTACCTATACCAGCTATAGAAGCTAACAGTTTTAGTCCACTAGTCCTTATAATGATAACATATAGAAAAACCTTTAAGAAGGGACACTTTAGCAGTTTGGCAGGGACTATAGGATTTCTAATGTTACTGTACATGCATGATCTCATCTGAACTGGATTATTAAAGCCACCTACATATACCGAACTGCAAAAAAAAAGCTCTTTATGAAAATACTTCACGGAAGTTGCCCATTTAAAATATCAATGCAATTTTTTTTATGGTATCTCATTTAAAGTAAAGTAAATTTGTGTATGAGCAAATATACTATTGCATGACCTGCATGCAGATTTACTCCATTAGTATCTATACACAAATCTGCAATGGCACTCAGTAATATTTTAGCTTTAACCCTCTTGGTGCCACGGGACCATATATGGTCCCTCACTTTTCACACCCGCATAGTGCCAGGGGACCATATATGGTCCCAAGAAAATGCCCTTTTTAAACTGTGAATTTTGATATTTAACACTGAGTGCGCAAAGTCAAAACTATAACCATCATCACCCCAATCATCTTAGCTTTAACATCGTGTAACTCATACTTTATACAATGCTACGGATTGGGAAATATGGCGAGATTGGTAAAGTGGCTACCGCTCTTCTCGGCCTTTTTCTGCCATGTTTGAACACCAAGCGAATGACTGCGAATTTTGATTATGCACCCATGTCACATACACGTAAATATTTTCAGACAAAATCCTTGTTCATAAGAAAAAATATGACCTGAGTGGTCAGAAAGACATATTTTTCGCAACTGTATACTTATTCATGTAAATACAATTCTGTTCACTCCTTTATGAACAAGTTTATTTACACGTTTTGTATATTATTACTATCGGTAATGGCGGAATGGTCCGCACACATGAGAAAACGACAGTGTATATTTCCATTACATTTATGATGTTCATTGAATGAATTTATAACCATCTTCACCCTAATCATCTCAACGTTAATATCGTGAATTTATAACCATCTTCACCCTAATCATCTCAACGTTAATATCGTGTAACTCATATTTTATGCAGTGCTACGGATTGCGAAATATGGCGAGATTAGTAATGTGGTTACGGCGCTTCTCGATCTTTTTCTGCCATGTTGAACTTCATGCGAATGAAGGCAATTTTTTATTATGCACCCATGTCACATACACGTAACTATTATTATATCAGACAGCCAATTTGAAAAAGAAATCTGATCGGACTGGTCAGAAAGATTTCCTAGTCCCCACTGTACAGTTATTGGCGTAAGAGTACTAACGTTTAGTCGGCCACGGAAGTTTTTTGTTCAAGTATTGCATATGTTTATCGACTGTGTCATGGCGATTTAGCACGGCGCTACATACCAACCGACAGTGCAGATTGTCTTTTTGTTTATGAAGCTGATTAACAGAAAATATTCAAATCAAAGATATGGAAAGATAGCTATAATCGTTAATATTAAGTTGGTATAGTGTATATTTATGGGCAGGAGGTTCATGATCAAAACCTAAACATTTAATGGCCAAGCCCGAAGTGATCGACAGGGCACGTTCGCATCATTTCTGTGCCGCGATTTCTTGTTTACCGGTTGTCCTACATACTCGCCCGTTCAGACAAATAACTGCTACTTTTTTCATATGAAATGACTAAGAGTCATGTGTGATTGCTCAAACTACCTGACCGTGTGAGTGACTTGCCCTAACTGTTTCACATTTTGTCGCAAATGGAGATTTCAAAAGTGTGGCCACGACATCTAACGTGAGTCGACGCCATATTGTAAACAAATTGTGTCAAGGTCGGTTCCACATGTGGTAGCTCGGCCCACGTTTCTGTCGATGGTACACGCGATACAAACATAATGCAACTACTGAAAACATCAACATAACTTCTACAATGATGACATCAATACCTTTTTGTATTTGGATTAACCGCTAATGGATACGCTTTGCTGTTAAGTTCGATTTCGATTTGTTTTTCCTTTCATTGAAACTGTGATAATGGCGCTGTGACTGGTTTGCTGAAATAGTATTTTCCATGAGTCTAATGTACATGGTACATGCTGTGATTGTAGAAGATAATTGATAACCAATTGTGTATGCATTTATATCATCAAATAAACAATTACTAATCTCTTCAGAAAATGGAATATATTAAAGCTCGTTTTCAAACATTCTGCCATGGATATTAGATCAAAAATTAACATTAGATTTACAAATTAATTATGTACACTGTACCCTTGATTAACGTATGATAATATATTGCAAGTCTTCAACTCTTATTTGATATGTCATCTGAAATGTTAGCAATGAGTACAATTAATTTTATTTCGTTACAATCTGCAATTTTATTCAAATAGGCTAAAAGACGGTCGGTGATTTCCCGCCGCTGTGAATTTGTCGTCTGCACAGGTGCGCGTGATTTGACCTCGCGTGTTGTGACGTGGATGATGTCACATGAAACAGCTGATCTAATGTTGTGGTAGTATAATGGATACACGTGGTTTCATTTTCCAAATAACAATATTCTCTTTGACTGAACACGAAAGCATATCTAGTACATCACGATTGGAAAATGTCTACGGCGACCGACGAGTGAATGAGACCGCTTATCATTTGACTAACAGTGTTAGAATATTTGGCGCAGTTTTCTAGTTTTGGTATGTTGACATGTGCTTTTCATATCTGTTTGAAGGCTTGATATTCCAAAAAAATAATATGCATTTAGTTGAGTACAGTGAGAAAGCTGTCAAAATGGATCCAATATTAAACCACCTAGATTTTAATATTTTAGCTTCATGTATTGAAATCTCGAATCCTTCAATTTATAACATAAACAGTAAAAGTAATTAGATCTTCTCACAATATATAGATAATCTATTTCTGAAAGACAAAAAGTTTTTACTGTAAATGTGACTTCGTTTTGATGTTTTACATAGTTATATTTATGTCTTTTTTCACTCTGCATTATCTAAATTACCAAATACTTCGACCAGTGACATAGTAGTAATTAGATTCTACTTTGTTTTGTATCCTAGGTATAAAATAGATTTTCTTTTTAAATAAATATTTGTCTAAGAGCAAAATCAATACATTCTTGTGGTTTTTTTCCACCATTTTAATTTGTATATCTTCCCTCCAAGCTGTTGCATGTTTAGCTAGGCCAAAATTAAGAAAAAAAGGAAAGACATAATAAACCATTTTTATTAAAGGTTTTGCTGGTTAAATTTTCGAAGTTTAATACCAAGAATATATTTTTTCCTTTTATGACAAATAATTCCATTACTTTCATTGGCCTACGATCATTATCTATTTCAAACTTTTCCTTTAGTAGAATGGGATGGAATGGGAAACTAGTGGAAATAAACTATCACGTATGTCCTTAAATGTACATGTATATACCTAGCTAGGTTTAAATACACTTCTAAAGTCGTATATATAAATCAGATGAATAAATGAAAGAAAAAGTGGTATTTCATGGACTGGCCATACAAGTATATTTTGAGCAAAGGTCAAAGTTAGGCAGCCAAGTGCGAAATACGACCCGATACGAGGATGTATGTTTTCTGGTGGTCATAGTGAAACAATGACATACGGCGTCCGAGTTGCGAGTGATCGAAAATAGGTTTGTTGAATAGATTTGCTGCCCATGAAAACGTTTCAACAATTTTGATTGAATCTACATGTACTTACTTTTGGGTGGTATTACGTTAGTATAATCTTGTTAATTATTAAGAAATAATAATGAAGCCCGATATTGAGCGATGTCAATTTGAGTATTGTTAGGGCTGTTTAGCGATCTTTCACATTTTGTCCTTCGAAAATGTACGATGTCAATTACCCCGAAGTTGTTTTTATCACTAATAAAAGAGCACGGTCATTGAAACATACATGGACGTAACCGGGATTTCTTCAAGATATACATTCCAAACTGTCATTCGTTTTGTGACATAATCTTTGAAACAGTCTGCGTATGAATTAATCACGACCACTTCCGTCAATTTTGTTTTGACGTCCAAAACACGCACAATTTCATCGGGATTTTTTATCGGTAAATTTAACTCACGGAAAATTTGCAGTGAATGTGTCTATCACTGTTAGGACATGTACTTGCCAATGATATGAATTATTGGTCATTTAGATTTCAAACAAGGGCACTTACTTGACTTTTCTTGCCGTATTCGGGTGCGTCCATATTACGATTAATGTGGAAAAGTAGGAAACTTATAATTCCAGCACTTTTATCGATGGCTGGGCAGTGCATAGATCTTTTTGATTTGGTGACTTTAGATACTGTTGGAAAGACAATCAACTCGAGTTGCATGTTATACAATTTGGTTACATTGTGTGAAGAAATAAAGACGTTGCAACACTTTTGATACAATGTATACGTTTTTGTAACCGCGACGTCAGCACAGTGTGGCACTGAGCGGTTTGCAGGCTGACTGACGTCCAGGCACCATGAGGGTTAACATGGTTGCATGTAAACAAGTCACTCCAGACAGTCCAATGATCGATATTGTGAGCATCAATCTAGGCCGTCAGAGTAGGCAGACACAACATTCAACCAAGTCACGGAGCCTGGGCACCGGATCCATTTGCTTGCCTCTACATGGTTGCAAAATGTACTGAAATTTGCCACATGGTAGTTAGTAGTGGGGCCTTATATACTTGTTCCATTTTTGCCATATTATGAATTTGACCTTGATTCAATCTACCGGTATACAGCATAATTAGAAGATAAATACTATGTGTGTGTCTTTTTCCGGTATCTTATCGAGTATTTGCATCTTGGAAATTCATCTCGAAACCCGAAAGCGTTAGCTTGAGGGGCTCGAATGAAAATCGTCTTCAGGATTGACTGTGTATTTTTTTCGGTTCATTGAGGTATGAATCGAAAAACCAATGTGCAAACTGTATGAATCCGCGTAGCGGATTCTTACAAAAGTTTGCACATTGGTTTTTCGATTCATACCTCAATGAACCGAAAAGAATACACAGTCAATGCTTATAATTAAATTCGACAGCATAAAACATGTTTTATCTACAATAGTTTAACCAAAAACAGTTGTATATATCAAAACAGACAAAAATGACGAGATTGATAAACAGTCCAGGTGTAGGAATACATACTGTGCGTGACATGAATCAGGTGATTGTTTAATTTATGCACATAAATTGACACGCCTACACTGTCAGTAGCCAATCAACAGAGAGCAGGATCAAAACAATGTTCATTGGACCTGTCAGTTAAGACAAGAGGCGAAAAGAACTGCAACTGTCAGACTGTAACGAACTGGAAGAAATATGTCCGGGAGAAGGCGGCTGTTTCAAATTACATGGTCAGTTACCGCCAGATTCAAACAATACTTCCCTGATTACGGTAAAACACAGTTGGAAAAATGCTAGTTAGAAAGGAAACCCGAAGACATGAAAGTTGAACCGAGGCGAGCAGAAAAAAACAGGCGAGCGAGCCTGCACGTTTGCTGTTTCATTCATTCTCGGCCATCGGTTTCAAAGGGTAGTTTGGACAATGCATATGCATGAAAGTCGCTAAATGTCCTGTGCATGACGATACACGTGAGCAGAAAGGGAATTCCCTCGGCTTTAATATTGGGATTCCCCGACATTCCGAAGTAATAAAAGTAGTGCGCCTCGGTGGGCGTGGCTTACTTTTTTACATTCATTGGGAAATGAATGCAATAACACGTGACCAATTCAGCTAATCAGAATACAGGAATTTCAATGAACACAACGAAAATGTAATTATTGCGAGTTTGTTTGTTATTATTAGTAGTTACATTATCTGTTGTTATGTCAACATAATCGTTTTTTCAGAGTGTAAACCCCCTGGATGCCACAGCGACACATGTGTCCCCTTTCTGTTTATCATTTACTGTCATTTTAGGCAATTCAAAATTACTGAAAGTGACTTCTGAAAATTAGGTAGATCTACATTGTAAATCTCGCCAAATGACAATTCACGGCGTTACATAAATATATTTACTGTGTGTTTAGAAATCTAAATATCGGATATTTACTCGAATAATTAAAGTAGAAAATTAGCGTATTAGCGATCACGGGTATCAAATCCCTACTGAAAATTCTGAAACGTCGCTGATAAGCCTAGAATGTTTTGGAAAATACGTATACACGAACGCAGAAGTGTACGTTCCGCCATATTGGATTGTGTTTACAAAATGACGGTTATGAGACGCCTATTCGATCAAATATATTTCAATATTTAATGCTATACATGCATCCCTGAATTCCTCATACATTTTCGAAACAATGGATAAATGGTCCTTGTCACCAATGCAAATTATCTAGATGAAATCATGCGAAATAAATTAGGTATGGAAACAAAAACTGTGCTCGGAAAACTGTACTTGCTGAAATGTAAACAAGGCAAAATTCAGATTTTACACTGTGTAGCCTTTTTAGAGGTACTTTCGTCTAATTGTTGCATACATTGGCTCGATCACGCGTTTGAGAATGTTCATGGGAAGAGTATCGTTGCACTAATTATGGAAACACACATATATACATTACAATGATATGGTAAATTCAACAGAAGCCGTTTACAAAAGTTTCCGTCCTGTGTGGCGCCATGACTGACGCTAAATCACGCACAACGATGACGGTAGTTATCTGCATTTCTGACTAATTCTCTTTCTTACATTGGAAAACATGGTAAACAATGACAGAACGCAGATTGTCAGAATGCTTCTGATTACTCACGTGACCCATTTATGTGTATACGATCCCTCAATCAACGAAAATCCTCCTCTGGAAATCCCGCGTACTGTTGTCAGTGAACACGCCATTTTGTGAAAATCGGTCACCGGTAGTGATGTCATACGGAAGTAAACATTATTGTACATATTTGGTAATTTCTTTGAGGTGTGTTCTTTGTTTTTGTCTAGTTTGCATTTTCATCATCGCCTTGATAATCCAGATATGACGGAAACCTTTTTGTGTCGGGTCACATTATTTATGAGTGGTAAGCAGCACATAGGATGACGTCACTTATGACAGTGGTGTCATGTATAATGCGCCACTGCAATCATGACAAATTCATCGGTTCGATGCTAAAGAGGTGCTATTTTGGGGCGTGGAAGAAACAGATTACTGCACTCGTGCCTGTCAGATGCCATTGATCTTACAACTCGTTGTTACAAATCGTATCTAACTCGCTTTCGCTCGTTAGATACGTTTTGAAACAACTCGTAAGATCAATGGTATCTGACAGACAGTCGTGTAGTAATCTCTATTTCCTACACAGTGATTCGGTCGCTTGCTTCAGGGAATTCAAATCATATTTTCACATTTGGTCAAATTAGCCAATCACAACACAGAACACACTTTCTATAGGTTTACAATAGATGGTATCCACCTCACACCTGACTGGCACTGTGTTTTGTCAAACTAGCTGCACAAATTGGAGAGCAATGGCTAAAAGTAAGTTTTTGCATATGGTTGCTGTGGTTCGAGCCACATTAATTGGGAAAGGATGTCGGTAGAATGGTTTAGGGAACGTTTCACGACAGCTTTCAATATGGGAGAAAACAACGACACGTTTGACACAGGGTTCAGGGCTTAAATTGTGAATGTGAGACAATTTGAAGATCGACGTTTGCCCACGTCAAGATAGTTTAAGTATGTAAGTTCTCCAGCCTATGTACAAGTAGTTTATATACCACTCA